TCGCTACGGAAATTGAAAATAGCCGGAGTTGCAGCTTGTGTTCCACTTTAACTGTATTTAAGTGACGCTATATTGGGAGGGAGGGGGTGTATCTAGAGGAAGAGCGTTATTGCTTAAAGAAGTGTTAAAAGCTAATTATTGAAAAAAACATTAACTAAGCGCCCGGGACATTTATTGTTCAGAGTATATTTTTAAGTTAACTAATCTGTCTGGTCTGGAAGGATCTCTCATTTCCGACCCCTTGTTGGGCATTAACTCTTTAGCCCCTGACAGTGATAAGCGTCTGAATCAAACATTAAGGTCATGAAATAAAGAAAATGATCAGTCACGAACTCAACAATCTCTTGATTATTCAACAAGCTCTCCCTGTAAGTACTAAAAGAAATGTCTCGAGGGCAGTATGGGGAATATGCATCCTGATTTTAGGGTGTAAATGGTTGATACGCAGCAGACGTCACAATAATCATAAGTTCTCCATCACACCAAACACGCGGTCAATCTCTCTCGACAGTTATTATCGACAAAAATCATGCACTGCAATTCCCTCCAATTCCTTGTAAAATTAATTGTTTATTTCAGGCATATCATCGACTGTTTGTGTAATTTTAAATACCCTTAATGTTAATCAAAGCCGGAGTTTTAAAGCCACTTAGTATGCTGGCAAATTTAAGCAGTCTAGTGGGAGCATGAAATTTGCATGTTAGTAGAAGTTATTAAGATTTCGTAAGAAAAAAAAAAACTTTTGTAAGAGAGAAAGGAGTTGAAATGGTAAACTAGCAAACTAGTGAATGTGTTATATTTGATGGGACGACCTGGTGGGGAATGGGGGCAGATTTTTTGTATCATTACCCAAGACATCCGCAAAGTAGAACTTTGAATGCTGGGAACAACAAAAGTTGGAAACATAAGAAAAAATTTTACTTAAGTGGTAGCATTATGTTTCTTGAGCATCAGTTTTAGAAAGATTTTGACAATAAGTAGATGAATTAGGACGAAAATAAATTTATAACAAAACGTAGTTGACAAACATGTTTTATTACAACGTCCATAATCCTGAGTAGAAACGAAAGCCATCTTGTTCATGCACAAATGACAACATAGTTTACATTACTAACCCTAAAAAGTAGTCGTCACACAAACTCGTTTATCCAAAAGCGTTAACTTGAAAGAAATTTGCAGTATTTTAATTACGAGTGACAATATCTTAATGTCATTGCTACACCTTTTCAAAATACGCGGGGGTGCATTACATTTTTAATAATATCAAGCTAGAATGAAAACTGTCACTTAATCGTTATTGTCCAATGATTTTCAGACTTGTTATCATGTTTTATTACTCACAACATTTTACTCTAACTGCTTTGTATGAATGAAATTACAGGTACATTAATATAATATTGTACAAATGGCCACTACATAACCAGTTTGGGCCAATCATCTTAACTTAACTAATGAGTCTCAATACGATTTCGTCGTTTATAAACCATTCTGAGTCACTTTAATCAGTCGAGCGACCTATATAATGAGTTAACATTAATATTCATTATAATCATGCTTGATCGCAACCACAACAGTGATATATTGTATATCAAATAGTATTTTTAAATTAACTCAAATGGTCGATGTACAGCATTGTAACAAAACACTGTCAAGCTGTGGAATTACATCAGTTTCTCGACCTTACTAAAAACATTTTACTTTACTTTTATAGTCTTATTGCATTGGTCGGAAACATGGCGAATGTACGGCCACTACTGCCGCAAAAAAAGTTCATGCTTACTCACACCCAGACAATAAATAATATCTTGATAACAATTTTAAATAATGCAAATAACTAAATTGGATAGTGATAGAAACCAGAACGCCAAACAAAATAAACTAATGAGATATATGCATTTTTTTTAGGTACTTCAATTTGTTTCAAAAGTTTAACCCAGTATTATCCTATTAGTGACGAATTGATCGATAAATGTTTATTACACGGCCAACTCTGTGCAAATAAGTTGATCTGAAAAGATCCTCATGGTGATTTATCGGGGTCCTCGTAATTTTGTTTGCCCCTAAAACACTTATTTGTTACTTCGTATCGCAGAGGCGTTCTGGTTTCTATCACTATCAGTTGCCCCAGATCATGTCACCTACTTACGCCTAAAATCTTGTCGCTAAGTAAATGCAAATTTATTATGTGAAAAGTACTTTTGTGAAATGGACGAGTTCTTCAGCTGCCATATGAGTAACACGTTCAAGGAGAAGTATGCCGGCTAATGTGTAGCTGGGTTACTGAATCTGAGTAATGCAATACGCCAATTGAAGGAGCATATTTGATTTAAAGCACCGATTGGTTTATGCTTGCATTTTGTTCAATGATTCCCCAAAAACGTAATATCTACCATACCATGACCAGAAGATGTCCAGTTATGCAAGTTATTTTGTTGATTTCTCCCGACATTATAAGATCCTCCTCCACCACCGCAGGAATCCTTTCCACCACTTCCACCGGAGTAACCTCCACCACCGCCTCCCCCGCGCCCTGAAGGTGACTGGGCCCCACCACCACCAAATCCACCAAACCCCGCCATTGAAGAATTGGAAAAAACTTGTCCGCCTAATCCGCCTTCAAGAAAACCTTTACCATCCTTACCTCCTTTTCCTGCACCACTGGAGTAAAATCCACCCCCGGCACCTCCGCCACTTTTGCCACCTCCGACACCTCTGCCACCTTCGCCAACTTCACCGCGTCCGCCACCTACAGTAAAAAAAGAAACAAACAAAACACCGTTATAATATGTCTATCTCAGTGCTTGTTTCGAACACGCAGTCGGTCTATCTTATTTATGTTGTTATTTAAGTTTCTCGTCGACATTATTCTTATTGTTCGCTTCGTCCTTAAGAGACATGACGTTTCAGCGAAAAAATGCCAGGGGAATTATTGTGTGTATTTCTGCGCGATTTCTTGCCCTAAAGTGACTAGCAAACAAGCCATCCCTTTATACTCGTTTGCATACTTCGCATCCTTCATAACGCTCGTATCAAACCCACATCCCTTTATTGCTTCAAAAGTCGCCTGGAATCTAGGTTACTGTTGTCTGGAATTATTACGTCTACGCACAACTTGGTAAAACAGATTTGCAATGTAGCGTATTTACTAATTATTACACAACGGTGAAATTAGGAAATAATTTGGGAGATTTAACGAAGACTCTCATTCTTGTATTTGCTATCAACAAAATGAATCATTGTAATGCTCTGCATTACAGATTACCGAACTCTTATTCGTTAAAGCTTCAGCGTGTGCAAGATTTGGCTCAGGAAAAAGTTTTACATTGCTTTTATGATACATCTGTCCAATAACGTGACCAATAAACACAAACGTTGTTTATTTACTTCTGAATGGACGTAGATTTTCGTAATACATGCTATCACGCTGGACGCGTTATAAAAATCAAAGTCAAGTGGAAACTTGTGGCAAGCGCCAGCAGCGTGTGAATGAGACGATTTCAGTTTTAAATCCTCTTAAAATTGAGAGAAAAATAGCGAAATGTTAAAAATAAAATAAGATTCCTCAATTAAGGGAAAGAAATTCAAGGAGGGGAGATTACCTTAGCTGAAAATGAATGTCACTGTAGTTAATCGCTTTTGAAAGTAACGAAAACTTTCGACGGAAACCTATTTGTCAGCTGGAGATCATGAATGAGAAGTTGAATTGCTCATAGCGCTTTGTGAAGTTTCACTAGTAAACTTTGCTGTCCCACTCTGAAGGAAAGAAGTTAACGAATATCATTGTCATGTGAAAGAAGTTTTTTACGCCGAGAAATTCTCAGAGAAAATTACCTGTTATGAAAAGTTTGAAAGCCAAAACGTGGAAACCTATCGACTCTAAAATTTGTTAATGGTACTTGAAACTGCTTTGCGAGTACTGCAAAAGCTTTGAGTTTGAAATATTTTCAAATGTGTTTGAAAGCACAAAGAGCGTGACATCGATATCACCACTGTGTTTACATACTACTATGTAAGTTCACCAGTTTACCAATAAGTGGGCACGTAACGCAATTATTTCATAACAACCTATAATGATTATCTTTTCATAACTTTTGACGGCAGAAACTAACGAGGAAATATTTGTGTGAGCTTTTTCGATAAGTGATATGGGTACCCAAACTTTACCTTTATAACCAGCATTCCCTGTTCTGTCTGTGTTGGCATTGCATCTTCCAAGTCTCTTCTTATCTTTAAGCCCGCCTCCTCCACCTCCAGCTATTATCAATGGCGTGGAATTTCCACTCATTACAAATGTACCTCCACCGCCTCCTGGGCCCCATGCTTTAATATTGCTCCCTCCTTCTTGGCCAACAAGCACTTGTATGACTTCACTCATATTCAAGCGGAATTTTCCTATCATTTTTGCTCCTCTGCCTCCGCACTGAGGACTGTAAGGGGGCCGATCATCACACCCTCCCGCCGCTCCTATGGCTTCTATTCTGTAGTAACCAGTGTACGGCACGGTCCACTGTAGAATACCGTTAGTTATCGTAACTTGTCTGTAATGATCTTGACCTGCGTAGGGATTATCTGACGCTGATGGATCATGACTTCCCTTCGCACCAAGGTTTGTAAATACGGCATGGAATGCTAGGTTATAGAGAAGATAACCTCGGTTTTGCATCAATTGTCAGTTAAAGGATTCTTTTTCTTCGTTAAAATCCTTACCACGCAATTTTTTGACCACTCAAGGCGCCTTTCAGCCTCACGCTGCTACGTTACCCGTCAATTCAAGCCGTTAAAACTTAAAACGAGGAATTTGATCTCAGAAATTATTAATTGGAAAGGCAGGTGCGCTTCATTTCTAAACATCAATGTTTGTCTCTAGAGATTCAAATACCGAATTACAAGGGAAAAGGAGAGAGGGAGCGAAAAGAATGCCAGAAAACTCTCTTGGAGCCTCAAGAGCTACTACTGAGAGCTGCAAACTAAAGCTAAAATGCTGCCGATGCTCCCTTTTTTTAGTGTTCGTTGTCTAGGATTTTACCTCGACAGCTGTGTCCATTCCAAATGAATTCCAGCTCACAAGAGCATTTGAACGATCCCTCAGTATTTGAACATATGGCATTGTACTTGTTACAGCTGTGGATATCTTCAGCACACTCATCGATATCTGAAATGAATTTAATAGAATGTTACCATGACCATAATTGGGAATAACTATCGAGCTGTGGGGTGGGACTCTGATCTATGACGGATTGATCTCAAAGGCACCTAACAACTACTTATCATTGCGCGCTTAGTCCGCCATTTTCTATATCATCTAAATTCATGAAATTTCTTCTGAATTTATCAGTGGCTTATTCCGGGTAGTTACTTTTGTGGTTTCTTGCAATTTTCTTGAGAAATTTTTGTTGTAACCGTCAATGACATCTCGCGTTTTTTCTCGTGGAAGACCTAAAGCCGCGAAGCAAACGAATAAATTCAATCTGTAGAATATCAGGCAGGTTGGTTCTAACATCGAAGGTCTAAGTAATACCCAATTTCCAGAGATTGTGCTGCATTAAAGCGTGGATATGCTTTGAGCGAGGTGCAGGTTACATCCTTTCTTCAACCCAGTAAAAAGGGTTGACGGGCCAGCAATTGAATGTAATATGAACGATTTTTTCCGCAGTTGCCCGTATGTAAACAAAGACAGAGGTGTGGTCGACTTGGATCCTATGAGAAAGTTTGACGTTAACATAGGCTATCCAAAAGCTGACGAGACATATCTCGATTTGATGGACAACTTTCAAATAAACATCAAAATTCCTCAAGGAACAAATGAGGTCTCTCCTCTACGGGTTTTATCCCCAGGACTACATTCATTATAAGTGATAACAATTGCGGCAGTTAATCCAGACAAAGCGGCGGGTAAAGGTATATTGGAACTAGGATCATAGAACTTATGTTCCTAGCGAAGAAACCTAAAAATTTGAACTTATTCTATGACGAAAAGATAAGTGCATATAAAGGATATGCCAGGCTATTTGTCAGTGGAAACAAGCAAAGAAGTAAGCCGATTAAAATTCACGGAGCTTCGAGAAGATTCACACATAGAATGTTGTTAGATAATACGATATTTCGAGAATTCTTTCTTGGCATTTGTGTCCATTTCTAGTGAATCCCTGCTTACAGTAGCAGTTGAGTGATCCCTCGGTATTTGTGCATGTAGCACTGTTTCTGCTACAGTTGTGGGTATCTACAGTGCATTCATTATAGCCGCAAACGCTAATCACTCGTATTTCAAACTTTACTAGAACAAACTTGACACATTGTTGAATACGGTAACTGAAAATGACAAAATTACAATCACGCGAATGAGCATAAAATAACTTACATCGTATGAGTGAAAGTACTGGAAAACGACAAAGAGAAATAAACAAGGATACTTACAAGACGAATGTGACCAAACCAAAGACGAAAACATGAAACCCAGAGCTAGATATGTAACGGTAATTTTCACAAACTAGACAACTAACCAAATAAATTACGCGCAACCAATATATATACGATATGCAAATAAATATAACAACTACAAAACTGGTAACTGACAAAGGACACTAATGGAAGACGAGAAAATAAACACCTAACACGAAACTATGAAACACCAACACTAACAAAAAATGATAGTACAAATTCTTGCGCCTACATTCATCGATGTCTAAAATAACATCAACAGAACGTACAATGATCATGATAATGAGTAGCCGGGCAAAAGGGGAATAGGGGCTAGGGTGGGTCTCCAATTTGCATCGTGAAAATGACAGTCGCGCCTGTTGGTCCAGTGTCTAGAATCTCAGGTCATTGAGCATGTCCTATTTTATGTCAGCAGATCTGAATTTTTTTGTGTGCTGATATTACAGAACACCATGGTTTGATAACTTTCATTACCTTTACAGTTGTGTCCATCGCCGGTGAATCCAGGACTACAAAAGCAGTTGAACGATCCATTGGTATTTGTACAAGTCGCATTGTCCCTGCTGCAGTTGTGGCTACTTGTAGCGCATTCATCGATGTCTGCAATGAACTCAACTGATTGTACTCAATCTCATACAAGTAAGGAGGCTTCGATATACAATGTAAAACTTGCAGTAAAGACAACTTAATCAGTCAAAAAAATTTTGTCAGGGTATGTCTTAATTAGGTTAATCAAATGTTGTATCTTGATAGAAAAGGAAAAGAGTAGGGCTGTTTTTCAAATTTTTCTGGACAAGAAGGTCAGGCCATGTACGTTTTACTCGCTGAAACGGGAAAGCAATCGTACTTTGAGAAATTCTCACACCTGCACAGTTGTGTCCATCCCCGCTGAATCCAGGATCACAAGAGCAGTTGAACAATCCCTCTGTATTTGTACAAGTGGCATTGTCCCTACTGCAGTTGTGGGTATTCTGAGCACACTCATCAATGTCTGCAATGAAATCAACACAATGATGACTGCCACCATGATTGTGGGGAGAGAGTGAAAAAAAAAAAAAAAAAAAAAATATATATATATATATATATATGTATATATATATCAAAATTAAAATAATGAAATAAAAAACTGGTCAAAACGACAACAACGCCCGCTGATCAAGTTTAACTGACAATAGTTGTATATCTAATGGAATAAAAAGAGTAAAGTATTATCTGGATCATCAAACGCGACTTCTACCAAGATATTTAGGGTTCTTTTATCGTCATAACAACAAGAATATCAGATCATTATTTTTACTGCCTTCATTAATGACTGGTTTGGCCTGAAGAAAATTTATTATCTGTACAGTTGTGTCTATCTCCACTGAATCCAGGTTTACATATGCACCTCGAAGATCCATCGGAATTTTCGCAAATAGCGTTTTCACTGCTACTGTTGGACGTATTCTCAGCATCTCCGCCGATGTCTGAAATGAACCCAATGGTGTGTACAGAAATTCGTGATACACAATGTTAACACAATGGTCAAACGTCTGCGGTTCTGCAAACGTCATAAAGGCTAGGTGGCGTAAGATGTGATGTGTAAGATTTTACCCTGGCAGATGTGTCCATCTCCAATAAATCTAGAATTACAAGAACAGTTGAACGATCCCGCGGTCTTTGTACAAGTGGCATTATCCCTGCTGCAGTTGTGGGTATTGTTAACACATTCATCGATGTCTGAATCGGAATCAACACACCGTGCTCATGATCATGATTATGAATACCTTAGCTGAATGGGAAAAGGGGAGACAGGGCTCCGCTACATGACCATCATGTTCTTAATAATAACAGGTTAGTATATACAATGACTCTTCTTCAGCCAGTTGCGTAGGTTTTATTGTGGTGAAATGACAAATTATCATGCTCTAAATAGTGTTCAGTACCTGTGCAGTTGTGTCCATCACTACTGAATCCAGGTTTACAAATGCACTTGAATGATCCATTGGTATTATGGTGCAAGTAGCAGTTGTGTAGCTGCAGTTATGGCTGTTTTTAGAACACTCGTCAATGTCTGAAATCATATAAGGACTGTGTTTCAGGTACAACAATAAGGAGTAACACTAAGAAAGGGATGAGTATATATAACGAAAGTTTATGAATTTTTTTTGTCACGACTAGAATTATACATGGGGCTAATGGGCGTTTTTAGGGAGTAAGGAATGCACGTGTAATTTTTCTGTTTAACAAGATCACACAACCGACAGAAATAGAACTACAATCCTACAAACTCAACTACTTTTGTAAAAAAACCTGTAATGTTGTTGATGAGCAGCGGTCTCTAAGGGAAGTACAATAATAAACCGGATTTAAGCCCACTTCAGCCTACATCACAGTTGTCTCCAAAGTCCCTCGAAGTGAACGATCTTCCACAGTAACTTAGTAACTCCCGACAGCAGCAACTACACGGCATCTCGCGTTTCTCCACATGGAAGCCTAAAGCCGCGGAGCAGATGAAAAAAAACAGCCTGCTTAACGACAGAGTGGTTGATCCTAACATCGAAGGTCTAAGTAATAGCCAATTTGCAGCGATTGGGCCCCATTAAAGCGTGGATGTCTCGCGCGAGGTGTAGGTCACAAGAGGCAAGTGACCAGTTAAAACTTGAAGTATTGAGAAATCTGCTCGATTCGTGACACTCTTACCATCCGCAAGCGTTTTTAAACTTCTGTCTTTAAAGATTAGTTTTGACCAAGATATCATTTAATGACTTTCCTTTGCGAATAAGTGCGTTGGTTTGAATAAGGGGCCATTTGCGCATCGGTATGTTTTCGTGGTTAACTAAAGCAATATTTTCTTCTTTGTCCTTTTTTATTTGTTTTTGAGTGACCTTTCTCTACTGGAGCAGATAACTCCAGTTATATATTTCTCCAGAACTTTTTCCGGTATCCTATATTCCCTTCCATAGTATTTTCAAGCTCTATGCATTTTCAATAGATGTGGAGCGCGTCGGATTTGTTCTAAGGTTGCTGCAAAACGCTTCTCCTTTTGCGAATCCTTTCTTAATACCGCTGGTAAAAAGTGTAGACGGGCCAGCAATTGAATGTAGTATGAACGACTTTCTCCGCAATTGCCCGTATGTAAACAAAGAAAGGGGCGTGGTTGAGTAGGATCCTTTAAGAAAGTTTGACGTTAACGGAGGCTATCCAAAAGTTAACCCAAGCTTTTTTTTTTTTGCCCGAGACATACCTCGATTTGATGGAAAACTTTAAAATCATCATCGAAATCAGTCAGTCGTCCAGTAAACAAACGTTTGATTTGCGCCCTGGAGGAACAAATGAGGTCTTTCCTCCTACGGATTTTATCCTCGAGACTATATTCATCCTAGGTGATAATGATTGCGGCAGTTAATCCAGGCAAAGCGATGGATAAAAGGAATTTACCACTAGGATCATGGAACCGTTGTTCCTTTCAAAGAAACCCAAAAAAATTGACGTTGTCTTATGACAAAAAGATAATTATAAAAATATGAGGTGTATGTGAGGCTATCCGTCAGTGGAAACAAGCAAAAAAGCGAGCCGATGAAAATTGACGGAGCTTTGGATGGTTTAATAATACGATGTTTCGAGAATTCTACCTTCGCATTTGTGTCCATTTCCAGTGAATCCCTGCTTACAGGAGCAGTTGAACGATCCCTCGGTATTTGTGCAAGTAGCATTATTTCTGTTACAGTTGTGGGTATCTCCAGTACATTTATCAATGTCTAATATGAGATCAACAGAACGTACCACGACCATGATGATGAGTAACCGGGCTGAAGGGGAATTGGGGCTGGGGTAGGTCTCCAATTTGCATTGTGGGAATGACATTCACGCCTGTTAATCCAGTGTCTAGAATCTCAGGTCATTATGTATGTCGTATTATATATTAGTAGATCTGAATGTATAATGTACTGATACTACAGAACACCATGGTTTGATAATTTTCATCACCTTTACAGTTGTGTCCATCTTTGGTGAATCCAGGACTACAAGAGCAGCTGAACGATCCCTTGGTATTTGTACAAGTGGCATTGTCCCTGCTGCAGTTGTGGGTACTTGTAGCGCATTCATCGATGTCTGCAATGAAACCAACTGATTGTATCCAATCTCATACAAGTAAGGAGGCTTCAATATATAATGCAAAAATTGCAGTAAAGACAACTTAATCAGTCAAAAAAAATTAAAAAACACAAGTCTTAATTAGGTTTATCAAATGTTGTGTCCTAGAAGAAACGAAAAAGAATAGGGCTCTTTAAAAATGTTTGTGGACAAGAAGGTCAGGCTATGTATGTTTTACTTGCTGAAACGGGAAAGCAATCATACTTTGAGAAATTCTCACACCTGCACAGTTGTGTCCATCCCCGCTGAATCCAGGATCACAAGAGCAGTTGAACAATCCCTCTGTATTTGTACAAGTGGCATTGTCCCTACTGCAGTTGTGGGTATTCTGAGCACACTCATCAATGTCTGCAATGAAATCAACTCAATGATATGTGCCATCATGATTGTGGGGAGAGAATGAAAAAATATACAGATATTTAAAAAAATAATGAAAAAAAAAACGCCTGCTGATCAAGTTTAACCGACAATAATTGTATATCCAATGGAATAAAAAGAGTGAAGCACTATCTGGATCATCAAGCGCAACTTCTTCCAAGATATTTAGGGTTCTTTTATTATTATAACAACAAGAATATCAGGTCATTATTTGTACTGCCTTCATTAATGACTGATATGGCCTGAAGAAAATTTATTACCTGTACAGTTGTGTCCATCCCCACTGAATCCAGGTTTACATATACACTTCGAAGATCCACCAGAATTTTCGCAAATAGCGTTTTCATTGCTATTGTTGGAGGTATTCTCAGCATCTCCGCCGATGTCTGAAATGAACCCAATAGTGTGTACAAAAATTCGTGATACACGATGTTAACATACCTCACTTAAGCCCTCTACAGTCTATATCACAGTTGTTTCCAAAGTTCCTCAAAATAAACAATCTTCCACAATAACTTGGTAACTCTCGACAGCAGCAACTATTATTACGACACGAATGAATCCTTATAAACATTTACAAAGTATTCTAGAACATACATGGAGCTCACAACACAACTATTTTAGTAGTATTACATCATGACTACGTGACATAATAGAATGTTCTAGAAAGTTCCATGGCATGCATGCAAGCATGACTAAGCATTCTAAAAACTTATTGATATTTATCTAACAGTTACTATCCTTAACGCCATTCCCGCCGAATTCAGGATTGCAAGGGCACTTTTAAGATCCCTCGGTATTGGTGGAACTGGCATACTCGCTACACTTGTGAAAATTTAGAACACACTCATCGATGATTGAAATTATATGATTTGTTACGCTATTTGCCAGCAGTTTAGAGTGAGGAGCTGCTGCGGAGAGGAAAATTATTCGCCCCATTTTTCCCGGCGCAGAATGCCTATCATAGGCTGGGGTGAGACTGCAACCTGAAAGAAGCAGGATAGTATTTGAAACAGAAAATGAATGCAGCACTTAGGGGAGGTGGTTCAAGTTCTTTCCTGTTCATCCTAAACAAGACACAATACCCAGGGTTGAGAAAAAGAGCATGAAATTTGAAATTGCGCCCCCATACTTCTTTCCCCCTATAATGGGTCTTATTAAATATGTGTCACAAGTACAACCGATTCTAAATCTTGAACCCTCTGAAGAAATAGACCACTGCGTTAAAATTAAAAGCAAAATTCATTTCTATCATTTTGTGCGTCACCTTCCTCACAGTCGTGGCCAGTGAATCCAGACGTACATAAACATCGATATCGTTTTCTTGTAAATCCCGACTGGCAGGTGCCGTAATTTTTACATGGAGCTTGAGCGCAAAAATTCTTCAAAAACAATAAAAATAAAAACAAAAAGAAAACTCGTCACTGGCGTTAAAAGAGAAATTCTGTTTGAGACATATTGCAAAACTTCGAGAGCTAAATAGAGAGAGGTGACAAGAAGAATTGTCGCTCCCCTGGATGGGATGTCAGGAGTGACTGTCTAATATCTTGAGAGTGTTCTTCGAAATTTCGCCGAGAACCTGAGAACAATTTGGTGGAGAAAGGAATTTCAAATGAAGCCCGTGAAGACACCCCCATTACTCAGAAAAATCGGGAAAGGTCGTCTTTTTAGACAGGCTATTATAAAGTAAACTGTCTTTCCCAAAACAGCACACACTAACCCCGCTCATAGCTCAACTGTATCGTTATATCCATAGTGGTACTCACTCTTCAGCTATGAGATGTATCTAATTATTTCGATTATTAAACCCAATTCAAGCCTGAAACCCAATTGAATTTAACTAACTTTTGCAGAAATGCATTCGAAAGGCCATTCCATTTATTATTGTTGTGCTTTCCTCATTGCAAGAAAAACAGCGATCAATTATTTGCTCAAGGCCGGTGACCAACGTTCTGAAATGACTTAAAGAAAAAACCTGCTTTTCTTAATAGAGTTAGGTGTCCTCAGGGGACTCAAAGGACTTTTGTTTTTTGTTGGTACTTTTGTACTAAAGATCCGTAACGACATCAGCACTTGTCTAAGATTTATGTAAAAATATCAAATGATCGATAAAAGGCGTTTTCCAGACATGAATATTAGGTATGATGAATTGAAAAAGAGAAAGTAGTGCAATTTCTATTTAACGACTGGTACCTTGGTTCCGTGGTACACGTAGTTCGCTGCTTTCACCAGATCTTTATCATACTCTTTACTCGTTGAGTTATTCAGTTCACAGTTGTGTGGTTCTGCACCGTTTTCTCCAAAATAAAAGTTAACACTGATGCAGTTGTGGTCCAAGTAGCAACGATATTCACACGTATCCCTGTCAATCACACTGATGTTTGCTATGGTGTGGTTAATAAGACGTTCTCCCACGAAGAACAAAGTGGATGGAAATGCCAATATACGGCATTGATCTAAAAATTCAAATCAGTAAGAGTTAAAAAGCAAAATGGGTCATCAATCCTGTGGGTCTCAGGTGTTTTTAGTTTCCCTGTTCGATGCACGAGTAACGATAATTATGACATATTCACTAAGTTACCGGAGTTCAAGTTGTATTAATAGTAACAACGGGTAGGGTTTTTTCGAGCCTGGAAGATCGCTAGAGGAGGATTTTATGACCTCCAAAAGTTGCGAACTGCAACACTGATGAGCCCAAACTCCCATGAAAAATTTGTCCTCAGAAAACTGCAATTAATGTTAAATGTTATGATATAGGTAAGACGTTTCAATCATGAACTTCCAATTTTTGTACATTATTTCAAATCACGATTTATTATCAAAGCTATTATAACCAAGCGCGCGTTTGCAAGTCCTACCAAACTCCTAATGAGCCATCATGGTGTCTCGACGTAGGCATGGCCAAGCATATATAGCGCGAGGTTTGCAATTCACTTAAGCAGGTAAGTTCCCGTTTGCCCCCTCCGAGTGGTTTCAAAACTCTCAGACTTTTTTTCTGTTCCATTTCGATTGAGATACACCTTTTAAGGCTAAAAATTAATTATAGTAAAAATGCTAGATAATACGTGTTTAAAAAAAAGAAAAGAAAAACGAAAAAAAATTCTTGAGCTCCGTCAATCCACGAAAATACCTTTGCAGATAACGTTTTTTCATTCCCAAACGCTGTACGAGTTATGGCCGTGAAGAAGCAAACTGAGCTTTCTGACCTTAAGTAAGGCTTTGCGACTTTGGAAACTCTTTTTCAGAACAGTAAGTATTCTTTGAGTTGACAAGTCCCAAAAGTGTTGTTGAATTGAAGATATTGATTCAAAACTTACAGTTTTCAGAATTCTCAAATTTTCAACAAACAGCGACACATTCTGGCTGTTGATTCTAATAATAATAATAATAATAATAATATTAATAAAAACGAATCCAAATGCTGAATTGATTATGCGGGTCTCGCAAATGCAGGGAATTCTTTCGTTTTCCGCTTCAAAGAAGCAAATTTAGCTTTTCTTTAAATTAAGCTTTGGTCTCTAAGTATTTATGGGCCGTTTTCGCCTTGCCTTTTATTGTTAGTTTTCGCGTAGAAAGCGATTACGGGCTGAACCCGATTCAATCGTACTAGAAATTTCTCTTTGTGCACAAGCTACATCATCTATTTTATAAAATAATTGGCTCGTGCTATTAGCGAGTGCATGTTGTGTTATGGATCTACATAGGAAATTTAAGAAGCACTCGAGAAGCTAACATTGCTCCTGGCTTCACCTCGACCAACTCACTTCTTTCGTGCTCTGCAAACTTCCTTCGTGCATCCACTTCACGATATACACACGCTGAGCACAAACCATGCTTAATATCACATTGTGATCTTTATTTTGTTTTTGTTCTGTTTTGTTTTTCCATCATTCGTATCAATTAAACTTTTTTTTTGATAAAACGTGTACGTGTTGAATAGATATTTAAAAAGACTCCTACCAAACCGCTATTGAAGTTTAAGGTCTTCCCTTCCCTTCATTGTGCATCGATTTAATTGAATTAGGAAAATGTCCCAATAAAGAGTTGTTAATTAATATCACTATGGGAATGGTTACACATTCATAACTTCTATCTGTTAGCCACCTGTCAAGTGAGAAGTTTTAATGCGCCTGGTTATTTGCATTCAGTACTCCTTTTGCATTATTGAAAACATAATTACTTTCCCTGTATATAAACAATTTTCTTTCTGTTTTTATTGGCTATGAAAACCTTATTCTTCAGGCTTCAAATATCGCACAATGCAAACACAGCAGGAGTGCTATAACGAGAAAAATATGCATCGAATTCCGAGTTCTAAAAGTTACACGACAACGTTTTGATCTATGTTTAACACCTGTCTGCATTCTATTTTCAAGGTAAAAATTTTTCGTACAAAAGTTGTCTGAATAAAAAAAACCATATCTACTAAATATGACAATCATACGTTCGCATGTAGTGAAAAAGAATTGAGAATATTTTTGAATGAATAAAAGATAACAATGCATTGAATTGGACTACGAGTTTCTTAGCCATTTTATCAATTAGGCCTCTACATGGCTGAAAGTTTTGAAGGAGAAAACTGAAAGTTTCGTATAAATAAATGCAAGATTTGAAACCTACCATCTGGGCAGGATAGAACATGTCCGTGGGAGAGAACTACAGAAATAAAGAACAAGTGGAGGAAAACTCCCATGTCCTCAAAACCAGCTGAAAAAGAAATCCTTTCGATGTTTTGTAGCTGTTGAGCAAATCGAGAAGCTTAACAGCAGTTTGTTGACTGCGATGGATGTACCAGCAATTTAATGTTAGACTTCCTAGAAACATGATAGCCAATCACATTTGGATATATCAAAGATGTTTAACACACCCTCACAGAGAGGCTGTTAGACTGACTGATGTGTATTGAACTACATAATTTTGTTAGTTTTCTCCTCAGGCAGTTATTTCCATCCTCCATTCGCTATTGTAATGGACCCTTCTTGTAAACGTTTCAGTAATTCATATGCAAAATCAAAGAAAAGAAACTATTTGTTAAATTTTGTAAAAATGCAAGCGCACAAAAAACCTCCAGAAATTTGCATGTTAAAGATTTCAAATTGCTAATTCTGCAGTATTCTAATAAAATTTTCTCGGAGATTTTCGAGCATACTTTTAGAAAACATGGCTTCATTGAAGCAAACTTCGTTGTTAAGTACCGCTCTCGCTAAGAGCGGTCCTTTCGACTTCCCGTCGAATTAAGTTTTCCTTGATTTTTTTGCCCGTGAAAGAGGTTTTAAGACACGTCTCAAAAATTTGGTTGGGTTTTTGTCCAATTCTCTTCTTTCTGTGTCCACAAGCTAAAATTGATTTTTCGGCTAAACCGGCCGTATGGACAGCAATCGAGCGTGCTGTAACTGCAATAATATAGCTCACGGAATTTTCTCTTCATGCCATATGGAGGATTTATTCAGTCAGAGTTTAGGTAAAATATGGAAACTTCACATGAAACCTTATTCACACCAGCGTGATCAGAGGATACCCATCTCTTCGAACGTAATTTGTGTAAGATTGTGTAAGGAAGAATTCGTAAGACGTAGGCGTAAATAAGGCTAGAAAAGCATATCGGTGGAAAGTTTATACACCAGTTAGGTCACTGATAGCCTCAAGCCTGCGGGGACACACCTGTCAGAACTATGACGTCACTCGCATTGAAAAATTAGCATGAAGACTTTGACTCCGCAAAAATCGATTGTGTGGTCAGAATTGAAATATGTTTGAGTAACGACTCTAAAAGCGTTGCTCGTTTCTAACAACAGAGGGACGCGTTTTTCGTTTCTATAACAACAAAATAAATGCATGGATGCAGCGTAACATACAAGTAAAGTTCCGTTGTGTCTATTTGTGACTTTCTTAACGACGACAGATGAAAACACCAAGTAAATGAATGTCGATTGTCGCGTTCGACAAGTCGGTAAAAGGTAAAGCGTGTAACATACAAACAAAATTAACTTGTTCCCTTGCGTAAGGTAAGTGTGATATTTTTAAGATAATAGTCTATTGTTTATGCTTGTGACTTTTTTCACAGTAGTAGTCTGATAGCATCATTTCCCTTAGGATCAGAATAGGCAAAAATTATGTAGTTGTGCTCTGTTTCCTCTAGCGGTCGCATGTATATTTTGATCCGATCAAAGTATATATGAAGAGGGTAAAGCTAGCTACAATACGAATACGAACTGATCAAAATGAACATTCATCCTTGCATTGAGTGTGGTGGTGAAGTTAGACCACGTCAACAAGCCCCCCAGTGCGACGATTAGGGTCGATCATATGGCCTTTCTGACCATATGATCGATTTCTGTGTAGTCAAAGTCTTCATGGCTTTATTAGAAACCAAGAAAAAGTTTCTCAAGCTTACGAAATGCCCGTGAGTTAGAAACGAGTACGTACCAAACGAACAACGCTTAATTTTTTTGTCAGAAACGGAGAACGCTTCCCATTGTTGTTAGAAACGAACAACGCCTTTAAAATCGTTACTCAAACATATTTCAATTCCGAACAGGCATATGATCTATTTCTGTGTAGTCAAAGTCTTCATGGTATTGTTAAAAATCAAGAAAAAAGATTCTTAAACTTACGAAACGTCCGTGAGTAAGAAACGGTTACATACCAAACGAACATTGCTGCATTTTATTGTTGGAAACGAACAACGTTTCTCTTTGTTGTTAGGAACGAACAACGCTTTAAGAATCTTCATGGTGTTGTCGGAAACAAAGAGCGCTTCAGTGATAAAAAATTTCTCAACGTTGTTGCCTATTAACAGTCTGAAATTCTAATCTTTTCAGTATTTGTTTCTTCGGGCTTGACTTTTTTTTTCGGGCGACATAACTAAAAAATTTCGGGCAACATGACTCAGGTTTCGGGCGACATGACTTCGGGTGAGATGACTCTCCGGCGACTAGACTGTAAAACCCTTGAGCAATTGTGAAAATAAGACCTGAGAAAAATTCAGGCTTGTAGTGATCTACAACCTTACATTGCTCAGGTTCTTCTTGTAAGCATTTTGCTGGTTTAATTGAAAAATTATAAATGATTTGCCTGTCTCAGTCCCTAATGGGAGTAACTGTGCCATTCGACTTGAGGGTGGTATACAAATTCTCCAATAAGTTCTTTAAGGAAATCCTGTTTGTTTGTCGCTACAGTTTTCTTAAAGAAAAAACGTGCCAACTTTTCCCTCTCGATCTTTCCCTCTCCGTGACCAGTTTGGGGAAATTCAGTCAATTTGATAAATGCTAGAAATATAAAGTATTCTTCGTTGTTTTCGGCATTCAAAACGTCCTCTTCGTTTCCTCCAAAGCAAATTAAAATCCGGGAATTCATTCCACGTGGCGCTATTTCTCCGGACAGGAAGATGTTTCAGTCTTCCATGGGTTTACCGGCAAAATGAACGATGGATTTTTGATCAGTCAGAGCGAAATTGTGTCTAAGTCACGTTACAGATAAATAATTATGACGGCGGAAGTTGGAAAGCGGCGAAACAAAAGATTATGTAGATGAACAGAACTGTAATAGCTCTGCATGGGCCTTTATTAACTTAGCCTAATCTGAATTGAACACTGTTAAATCATTTGCAATGTCTGAAAACTGGAATATCGACAGAAAGTGTAATCACTTTTCAACTGTAATCTCAACGTTGCCTACGTAAGTTGTGTTAAGCAAGAGATCTGAAGCTGTCGGTGCATGTAAACAAGGTGACGTGTGGTTAATGAAAGTTTACTTTTGTAACCGATATTTTTCTAAAGGTCGCCGTCGTGACCACTTGTATTTGTTTCATATTTTTTTTTGAGAAACCGATGTTGAATTTTTGACTTAAATGAAAGGAGCTAGTGCAAACAGTGCAGTCAAAGCTTTTAATGCATTTCTGCTTACGTACTGAGAAGCGATTTCTTTTGCAGACCGATAAACCCGATGTTATGTCGCTAGTTAAGGTAAATTTTATTTCAGTTTAACTTTACTAAACATAATTCTAATGGTATTATTCTCATTTTACCCACCTTCCTCAAATTCTCCTTTTCATATGGTACTCTTTGCACAGCTTCAATTGGCAAAACGCTAACGATATCACTTTAAGGGAAATATTTACGTTCTTCCCTTTCCCCCAGTACTTTTGACTATTACTTCTAGGTACACTTTATCATTTCTTTCCCAAAACTTTCAGAAACTTCATGTGATAAACCCATGATTTTTCAGTTTAAATTTTATGTTATTTTAAGTTTCAATCGTGGATGACATCGTTAGTCTTAAGCTTCGATAAATGCTGGTGTTGTGTTGACTCAGGCACTTGTGGGAACCCTCTCCTGTACCTGTTATCTGATTAATAATGGTAATAGGACCGAGTGGAGTCCAATTCGGTCTGTAACCATACGAGTTATTAACAAAATTGGACGACCACGAAGCGGGAGTCCGATTTGAGTTATCACCAATCGGGCGAATTGTAGTGCACACCTGTCAGTAACTATGACGTCACTCGCAGTGAAAAACTAGCATAGGAAACAACATGATTTTGAGTGCTGTTTTAAAAATTCCCCCATCTCTAAGCATAATTCTGTAAAATATCAGTCACTCGAAAGGACCATATTTCTGGTCGAATGTTATTTGCAGTGAAATGATTTGCCGAATTGGTCTACGGATGGTTCTTCTCGTTGCATCTTTATTTATCGTCCACCTGCTGTCTGTAACAACCGCTGAACCGTGTGGAACGGGATATTCCATTTTCGGCATGATGTTAACGAGACACAGTTTTAAGACGATGAAAACGTCTAGCGCAATGGAGTGTTTACATGCTTGTAGGGATGACGTGAGGTGTCAGAGCCTGAACTACGTAATCGGGGAAGATAGCTGTGAGTTGAATGACCGCACCAATAAGGCCAAACCTGAGCATTTTGTGCCAGATTCATTCCGATATCATCTTACACGAGACAAGAATAGGGGTGAGTTATTGCTTTTTGTTTTTAACATACTCCAGAAACTACAGTCGACTTAACTACAAAAAGAGAAAGAACCGTTGGCGTATTCCATGGTATCACATGGACCCATATGCCAGCAAGGCACTCGAGTAGAAGACCGGGTCCCTGTGCATATCTTGGCGCGGAACAGCAGTTCATCATAAAAGCTTTTTGTATCATTTTACATACCATGCAAAATGTAGGCTTTTTCCTCTCCCTGTTATTTTTCTTTGAACACTTTCTTTAGGAGGGCCTAATTGAGGTGATGGTTTTTTTACGGTTGAAAGTTACAAATTTTAGCAATTTCTTTTTTCCGTTATGGTTTAATACAAAACTTTAACGGCTGTCTCTCCTACGACAACTGCTAAAATTTACTGGTTTTTTATCCCTAACGGCTGAATTGTTTTTGCTGTGTTACTGCTAATGGTTAAACCAATTGAGACCCTCATTTAGAGACATTATTCTTCATCCTTAGGGAGCCAGCCAATTCCTTTTTTTAATTCTGATCCTCTGTTGTTTTCTTCCAGTCCCTCTCGGTTCCATACGTGAGCTGCCTGCGGAGACATGTAGAGAAATCAAGTTGAGGGAAGGTCACGTAATCAGTGGCAACTATTGGTTGAATTCGATTGTTAATGGAAAATCCCTACTTGCTCAGTGTGATATGGAGACAGAAGGTAAGTTTAGCTGTATTGAAACCTCTCGTTTTAGGCAACTGTTTTTGGGGGAGTGGGGGGTAAGTTTATGAAACTATTGAGCTACGTCAGTGGGAGAGTATAACAAGGTAATTTAGCCGTCGTTAGAGCGAATGACCAAGGGCTAACGCTCTAAACGTTAGCTTTGAAGAAAAAGTAAAATTGAATGAAAAGGTGATGCTACCATAACCTTTGAATCTGTATCGAAGTCTCAGAGGTGTTTCATGAATAAACTTGCGAATGTGGAACTTTCATTCTGAGAGCGTACTTTTTTAAAATATAAAATGCTACGTCTATGATTTTTTCCCAATTTGCCTCATCAGATGTTGACGAGTGTGGTGCTGACGTCCAGATTTGTGGCTCTAATGCAAACTGCACAAATACCAACGGCTCTTATTACTGTTCCTGTCATTCTGGTTTCACTAGAGGTGGCAAAGAATGTGTAGGTAAGGACATTATGTATAGATTACTTTTGAAATTACTTATTCTTTTTGTGTGGGACACACAGAAGGCCTCTTGTTAGAGAACTTTGCTAATTTTTATAAACTGCTCGTCGTACAAGTTCACTTCATGTTCAGTACTTGTTCGTCATCTCTCCCTCAGATTTCTTCCACCATGTTCCTCTTGATCGACTTCCTTACAGACTATCAGTAGTCTATCCGAGGACAACTCTCGACAGGGCTGTTGATGTTCTATAGAGTACATCATCTGCCCATTGATATTTCTTTTGTCATATTTTGTTAGTCAGCTCTTTATTTTAGACATATGACTTTCATCATCTACAGTAGCGTCCCTTTTTTCCTATTTCTCGTTAAATAGGCATCAAGTAGTCTTCATATACAAGGCTGATAATCCAATACTGTAACAACCCAGAGCCATATTTTCTTCTCAAGGCAAATACAAAGTCGAACTCTATTTATGAGAGATAAAATTTTTACCTCCTAATAATGTTGGTATTCTGTGATCAAACATAATGTTTGAGGCAAGCTTACCACCACTCCAGACGTAACTGTCATGGCTAAGAACAGTTTTTGTATCCATGTGGATGTTTGATATTTTTAAAAACCGCACAAATGATAAAATTGTTTCATAGCTAAGATAAGCAAAGTCACATAGTTTTTTTTTTCCAGATGACAAATATCTAAAATCAATTCCGAAGGAACTTCTTTTGTATCCCTTAAGGAAAATAGTCTTTCTGCGGATTGGACTTTTTAAAACCAGTTTTATCTTAGTTCCCTTGTTTTGCATTAGGAGATGATAAAAATTGTTTACCTAGAGAAGACTACTCCATGAACTGTTCAGTGTGAACAGATAACTTTTTATATTTCCCAGATATAGATGAATGCACAGCTGGTATTCACACTTGCCTTCGTGGAACAGCCACGTGCATTAACACTATTGGTTCGTACAACTGTTCTTGTAACCTTGGTTACGTAGGGGATGGAAGAACAAGTTGCTATGTGCAGTCAGCCGGTTGGTGGTTTTTTCTTTTACAAGTAATGTGAAATCATTTTACTTACAATTGCAGAGGCTAGCATTTTTTTTCATCTTATACTATCTCAGATATTTTCGTCTGACTTTAGATGCTTCACTGAAGATTGCTCTTCTTTATTTTTTTTAGAAATTAGGGCGGGTAATGATTCAGAAGAGTGAGTCGTGAGCCGTACATGTAAATATTTTATCTCAAAGAAAATAAGAATGATAATTTTACTCGAATTGAGGTTCAAAGCTCTTTCCCACGCACATGATCAGAGGAGAAAATATCTTAATAACAGATTAATGAACTGATAAAATGCATGAAACAAGAATGTTGTCAATCATTTCGAACTGTGTTGAAGCCATTGAATCTCCCAAAGAGTATTTAAAAAGCTATATAAGAAACGTAAAACACCAAGGAGACAAATGAAAATGGAAGAAATGAACTGAAACAACAATGAGGTAGCGTTACTGTAACTCTTTAGCTGTGCATTTATCTGTTTTCTCTCTCAGAATGTCAAAATCCTGCAAGTCTTACAGGAGCTAACAGGAAAGAAACGTTCACCGGAGTTGGTTTATGCGACAATACACTCGGTCGAAATTGGTTTCGTTTCCAGGGAGCAGCCGGAAATAAAATGGCTGCCACATGTGTTCCAACTCACCGCTGTGGAACGAAATTTGTTGTTTGAAAAACGCAACATGGCCGCCGCTTGTAAGACCTTGAACCGGCTTGGTAGTCAATTACCCTGTTGAGTTCACTGACGGGTAATCTGCTGAAGACTGGAACCCGGTCTCCCTTCACCTCTTATATTGCATAAATATTTGTTATTGATTCAAACCTTATCAACCTTATCAAGGTTGATAGAATGGTTGTTATCTGATGTTTTGCCCAGCCCCAAAAGGAAGAGTTTTTCTTCGATACTGATTTAGTGGAATTCAATTTTCTATAGCGAATCGAAATTTATCTTTGCAAGTGATGTTGTATAATTCTCTTTGCTGGAGCACTACAGAGGAATTGTATCAGTCAGTGAGACAATTTAGTGGCTATTTCACAACTGAACTTTATTTCTACAAGTATCACGTGCAATGAAGTGTAAGTGTTTCTCACTAAATGAAAAAAATAAATGATAGAAGCTTACTGCTCAACATTTACGATATTTTAAAGAAAGTCCCGGACACAAACATAAATAAATAAGTAAATAAACTGGTACATATGGTTCCGTTGTATCACTTGGTCCATCAGAGAGCCTATCCCGACACTCGATTGTTATCTTAATTGTTGTTTAAATCTTTAGCAAACAGCATTACAGTATGACATTAGAAGAGTTGAGTCGTCCGATTCGAGTGGATCGAGTCGATTCGACAACATTTTCAACCCTGCCTCCTAGGAGGTTGAGGAACAGTTTCTACCTCTTGAAAATAGACTTCTAGTATGACATTTCACATCAAGAGGGACGGTTTATTCATATTTCCGGTATCACGAAACTACTTAACCGTAAATTAACCTCCGGTAGGTCGATGCTTCTTATTGATAAATATAGCTAAAGATCAACCTTATTTGAGTTGAAATACCATTGTCACTATCATTGTTATCAATATCATCACTATCATAACTGCGAAACTCTTGTCATACCATTTCCCGTGTGTAACGCGTTTAGGTTTTAATTACCCGTGAGTGTTTGTATGTTTTATTAGTTACGTTGTGTACTTGAGGTTAATGTTTATATCGTTGTGTATCATCACTTAACTTATGTCAAGTAACTTATCATGTTTTTTTTGTATAAATTTAGTCCTGTGTATCAATAGTTACGTCCAGTCTTAAGAAGCAGCCTTGTCGTAGTTTAAATGCCTGTAGAGCTATGCACCGCTAAGGTGAATATTTTTCTTTACTGTGAGTTTATTGATAAGATGCAGACAATACGCAGACTTTCCCAACCAAAATAACATAATCATTGACTCTTATTTCACTAAATGTTTTATTTCTTTATACTTTTATTTCGCATACAGTTCCCTTCTCCTGCAGCTTTTAAACGGAAGTGTATTCTTACTACTTTTAAGTTCATCTGTTTGTTGGACGTGGATTTTTATTACATAAAAATGGGCTCCCCGATATCGCTAATTTGGCTGCAAAACGGTCAGTCATCACAATTGTCACACTCATTATTCCCTATTTTCTTCGAAACTTTGGAGACGTCTATGCTTAATACGCTATAAGGAATAGTTTGGGATATGAAATATGGTCGACTTACAATGCTAAATATTCCGGAATGTGAATATTTTACATCCCTTGTTGTTCGTTGCGGTTTCTGGGGATTTCTGCCATGAGATCTAGACGGCTAGGAAATGTACAAAGTTATAAAACACATGTTTTGCTTTTGAGTTTTTTGCCATGAGCGCGACCCCGGTTAGCCGGGTTACCCCACCTAAAGACGTTTACATGGCAAACTGTCACCCCAGCTGACAGTCACTACCTGGCAGACCGGGCAACCCGCCTATCATGTGGACGTGATCAAGATAAAATAAGAAATTCGGATTAAATTATCCAATCGGATTTTGGGAGATCATCAGAATAATTTGGAAATTGCGAAACAGTTTCTTTATTCACATTGAAAAGAGACCAATAATCTTTCTGTTGGTCTGGCGAGTTTGCGAATTGCGTTTGTTCTCCCCAGTTCCTCTCACTTCTCCACAAGCTGCCACTGAGTAGGGTGGGGTGGGGATCATAAGAATATTGCAGGCCTTAAGAGAGATCAGGTAAATATTACTGAGACACAAACCAAAATCCTATCATCCCGTCTCTTGACAATAAATAACGGTTCCTAAAATCAATGCACTTCCAAATGCAGAACTTAAATAGAGTGTTTTGTGCTTCTTTTAGTCGGCTTCGTCGAGATATGAACGAGACAAATTACCGGCCATCTACCAACGACACTGATCTGTGCACCAGACGTGACTTGCATAACAACACCAAGCAGACTTTCGGGAACTTCCTCATCGCACCGCTCTCGTTCAACGCCTATGACTGTGTGGGAGAGTGTGACCTGGCTGCTGGTGCCGCCAGTTTCAGCAACCATGCCGTGGTGCGCTCCCTTGCTGCGGAGCGGATGGATGGAGGAGGCAAGGTAGTGCTTAACTGCTGCGTCGCAACAAACTTCAGCACCGATATGCTGGGGATCATGTATTTTAAGAAAAACGGTCACGTGATCCTGCGCCAGTACCGAGACATGGTCGCCACAGAATGTGGCTGCCGTTGACGTAGAACGTACCCGCGCTTATCACGTGGACGCCTAGGGCAGATTTACTATTAGCACGTGGCATTCGAAGAAGAATTGATTTGTAGATGTAATAATCTCCCTATTTTTATTTTGAAAAGCGTAACTATTCAGTGCTGGATAAAGAACTTTTAGATTGAAAACAAAAAGATGAAAAAAAGAGTAATGAAACTATAATTATTGAAAAGAAGACAGTTGTAAAGATAAGCAAGCTATGAGTCCAAAGTGAAAATAATGAAAAATAAAGATAGACTTAAGCAATGAGAGAGACATAAATTTGATGAAGTTGGTAGAGATTGTCAGAATTTGTCCCTAAGACCAGAATCACTTAACGCTCTCGTTTTCAGTCTTTTTGTCAAATCAATAGGTCGTGTTTCATTTTCAATGATTAAATTTACTTTCTTATATAAAGTGACATGTCCCTATTCTCAAAAAGGTTTAAAAAAAATTAATTACTCTATGAATACCGGAATAATTGGCATCACAGATACTAATGCTTTTTCGACGCTCTGTCTCGGAGTTCCCGAGTAAAACAAGATTTTTGCTTTTCTGAGCAATTTTTGCGCAAAATACAGGTTTACGGCACATATCAAACTCATAAAAATCAACAATTTCGGAGAAAAGTTCAATTTATGCAAATTTTTGGACTTTTCATCAACCTTTGAACACAGCTCGTCACTTGACAACATTTCGCTGGCTTATTGACTTGGAGTATATCCATAAATTTCACCCATATTTGTGAGCGACTCTTAAAAGATACCTTTAACTTTCTTTTTTTTCGTGACCGATGTTAGGAATTATTGTGAACAACGAAAAATAAAGCTTTTGATTGACGTTTCTATAAAAATGTCAAGAAAATGAGGCAGCACCCTGTTGGATTTTTAGCAATTTTTAGCAACTTTTTTGCATTCAGTGAGAAACTTTCCAGAATTTTATGAGCACAACTGGTAGAGGCCTACGCACAACACTTATACTTACATAAAACCGATTGAATTTTTGCGAACAGCGCAGGATTAAATTAACGCTCTCACTCCCAAGATCTCATAACTAATTCTCTATAAAGTTTGCCATACAATTGTTATAAAGTTAGTTTGGAGAATTTGGAATTGGATCAATTTATAATCCCCTGGTTAATATTTTTCTTTAGTCTCATCACTTTTCTGCTTGATATTGTATGGATATTGTGAGAAGAAATTCTATTTTGGTCAATCATAGTAGTTAAATATTTAATTCAATGCCATGTGCCTCATTCACGTAGGTTTGCAGCCTCGTTTTCTACAATCGTCAGGTTTTAAGTCCTTAAGTCTGTTTCAAAACACTCCCTGATGGAGTCCGTGACATAGTCTGAAAGCGAACGGAACAATAATTAAATATTCAGCATTTCATCGTCTTATTCCGCGGTATCAATTAGTACTTCAGAAAAATATATCCTAGCCGTTCTAAGTATGCAGAAATCCCCTAAGAATCCTGAAAGTAGAGCTCTGGAAGTAGCGAAAAATATTAAGAATATTATCTAGTTGGCTGTTTGGAAGAAATAAAATTTGTCGAGACTCCCATTAACGAGTGACGGTTCCAGATATTTTAAAACTTCATGTCGCATTGAGAACCATTTATAAATAATATATCATATCGATAACTGTCAGCACTTTTAGGGATTGCAAATGCTTGTTTGATAGTTAATACATCATTAGCCTTTACATTTGATTTTGCTCCATTTGCAATTCTCCTATTACCATAAGTTGGATTTGTATCCATAAAGAAAGCGAATAATTTTATGACCAATTTTTGATCTCACATCCTCAAATTGACATCTCCGTGGGAAATATTCGGTTCTATTTTTCACGTTGCCTTAACAACTTGGATGGATAACCTACAGCTACAATTCCAATCATGGTGAATGTCACACATCTCAAAAAAGGAAAATAGACACCTCTCTAACTTGTTTATTTTAATTCCGTTCTTAAATATTGATTGAGATTAGTTATTTATAACCCTTTCGGCTTTGTGAGCTTTTCAAGCCATTCATTTGCAATTCTCGTTAATGCGTAACGGTTGTGATCGAGATTAAACCTCATTTTGCGAACAGATATCCAATTTTAAAGGGATTTACTTCTACAGAAAGATCTTGGCCAAATTCCGCTCATCGGTGAAAGGTTGGCGTTTTCAGGTTTACACTCACTAAATAATTTCGCCATAGCGTTCGCTGTTTTAAATTTTTTTATTTTATTTTATGTTTGTTATCAAGCATAGACAGTCAGAGTCATTGTTAGTCAGAGCATCAGAAGAAATATGTTAGCTTAGAAACATGGCTAATGTTACCAATAAGCCGTAACTGCGCTGGAAAGCCTCCGGATTTTGCACAAGCATTGCAAAAGTGATTTCGATCATTGTTAGATTGAGAATGTAACACTAATCTGGGCCGCGCATGTGAGGCGCGATGATATTAACTTGAAACACTTGATTTTTATGGTATTTTTTAGGTATACGACTAGCTATGTCATCCACTTTTTCCTAAACAACCGTCTTCTACTGTAGATAGTTTCGCTCAATCTGAAGCAGATACAATGCACTTTGAACGCTTTGAACAGAGAACGAATTGGGTTACTGATTAACTTGGAATTTCGCACTCGAGGATAATTGCATTTCTTTGAGTACACCTGCACAACGATCATGTTTTTAGAATCATTAACAATATTCTACTGATCGAGAAACAGTACATTTCATGAAAAAAAGAAGCTTTGCGCTTGTTTTGTCACGATTGTTTTGATTACTCTCAAATGTAGTATTAATGCACTTCGGAATTGAATTTTTTTCCATCGCGTTTGTCACTTTCTTAGTACTGATTGCTGAACGCGAGGCAGCCATTTTTAATTTCAGCACGCCTAAGTAATGTATAGATTTAGCCAAGCCTAAAAGTGGAGCTTGCATTTTTTCCCCGCACGTCTCAAGAGCACAACGCCTTGCCTCGGCCAGGACTAGAACCCGGGTCGTCCGACTCGGTGCCCAGTGCACTGACCACTGGACTACTGAACAAAGCCGTGGCATTGACGTGCCCGCGGTACAGTTGACTATGCATGTTAAAGTAGTACCTTGTACGGCACAATTTTACTGTCTTTGGAAAATTTACTCGTACTTAATAACAACAAATTGCACTCAAAATCATGTTGTTTCCTATGCTAATTTTCAATGTGAGTGACGTCATAGTTACTGACAGGTGTGCACTTCAATTCGCCTGCTTGGTGATAACTGTACTCATACTTTTACCGTAAATTACACAGCAAAAAAGAAAAAAAGTTTAATGACTGTAAGCCGCATTAAATCCTCCTATAAGTTTCTTATTCAACTACAGTTTTTCGGAGGAAGAAAGGAATAAATCGCATCATTACAACAAACAAACTAACAAACTTTTGCAATATGGAAGCGATCTTCGCAGTAATGAACACTACTCAGGCAGTAGTGAAAAGAAGGCCTGAAAAAATTTCAAACCTGTACGGGATTTGAACCCATGATCTTTGCGATACCGGTGCAGCGCTCTACCAACTGAGCTAATAAGCCAACTAGGAGCTGGTCACTATTGGTTCCAAGCTCCCAGTTTAACCGCACTTCAAATATATGACTTCCATATATTCATAGCCGTTTAAAACTTTTGAAACTTCAAAACAGTCATTTGAATTTACTCACGGTGAATTTCCTTGCCATTCAAAAATGAACGGAGGAAAATCTGCAAAGATTTCTTGTTTTGGAAGTGAATGAAACTCTCCCTTGGATCATTTGGCTATTTGAAGAAAATCTCGTTGTAATATTCAACCAGCTCAGGTTTGCTTGCTACGCTGATAAGACATACTGTTGTTTTTTCAAAAGTGCACGCATTTTTTAAATTGACAGGTGTCAAAAGATGTCTCAAAGTTTGTTTGGAAGCCTTTTAAAACAACTGAAGTGGAGATGTGTCGGTGAAACATCTTCCTTTCAATGACTGTGAATATAGGAAAACCATAGATGTGAACTGAGGTTTTTTAACAAATGAGCGGAAAGCGATTATCGCAGTTATAAACATTACTTAAGAAGTAGTGAAAATAAGGCCAGAGAAAAAGTCAGACCTGTAGTGATCTACAACCTTACATTGCTCAAGTTCTTCTTGTTAGCATTTTGCTAGTTTAATTGAAGAATTATAAATTTTTTACCAGTCTCGGTCCCTAATGGGAGTAACTGTGCCATTTGACTTAAGAGTGGTATACAACTTCTCCAATAATTTTTTTAATGAAATCCTGTTTGTTTGTTGCTACAGTTTTCTTAAAGAAAAAACGTGGCAACTTTTCCCTCTCGACCTTTCCCTCTCCGTGAACACTTTGGGGAAATTCAGCATTTTAATAGCCAATTTGATAAATGCGAGAAATATAAAGTATTTATCGTTGTTTTCGGCATTCAAAACGTCCTCTTCGTTTCCTCCAAAGCAAATTAAAATCTGGGAATTCATTCCATGTGGCGCCATTTCTCCGGACAGGAATATGTTTCAGTCTGCCATGGGTTTAACAGCAAAATGAACGATGGATTTTTTACCAATCAGAGCGAAATTGTGTCTAAGTTATGTCATAGATAAATAATTGTGACGGCGGAAGTTGAAAAGCGGCGAAACAGAGGACTATGTAGATGAACAGAACTATAATAGCTCTGCATGGGGCCTTTATTAACTTAGTCTAATCTGCATTGAACACTGTTAAATTATTTGCAATGTCTGAAAACTGGGATATCGACAGAAAGTGTAATCACTTTTCTACTGTAATCTCAACGTTGCCTGTATAAGCTGTGTTAGCAAGAGATCTGAAGCTGTCGTTGCATGTAAACAGGGTGCGGTTAATGAAAGTTTCCTTTTGTAAACGACGTTTTTCTGAACGTCGCCGTCGTGACTACTTGTATTTGTTTAATATTTTTTTTGAGGAACTGACGTTGAATTTTTGACTTAAATGAAAGGAGCTAGTGCAATCAGTGCAGTCACAGCTTTCGAAGCATTTCTGCTTACGAAGTGATTTCTTCTGCAGACCGATTAACCCGATGTTATGTCACCAGTTAAGGTAAATTTTATTTCGGTTTAACTTAACTAAACATAATTCTAACGGTGCTATTCTCATTTGCCCCCGCCCCCACCTTAAATTTATCTCTGAATATAATATTCTTTGCACAGCTTCAATTGGCAAAACGCTAACTATACCATTTTAGGAGAAATATTTACGTTCTTCCCTTCTCCTCAGTACTTTTGACTGTTACTTCAAGGTACACTTTATCATTTCTTTCACAAAACTTTCGGAAGCTTCATGTGATAAACCCATAAGTTTGTAGCTTAAATTTTGTATTATTTTAAGTTTCAATCATGGATGACATAATTAGTCTTTAGCTTCGATAAATACTGATGTTGTGTCGACTCAGGCACTTGTGGGAACCCTTTCCTGTACCTGCTATCCGATTAATAAAGGTAACAGGACCGAGTGGAGTCCAATTCGGTCTGTAATCACACGAGTGATTAACAAAATCGGACGACCGCGAAGTTATCACCAATCAGGCAAATTGAAGTGCACACCCGTCAGTAACTATGACGTTACTCGCATTGAAAAATTACCATAGGAAACAACATGATTTTGAGTGCTATTTTAAAAATCCCCCATCTCTTGGCACAATTCTGTAAAATATCAGCCACTCGAAAGGACTATATTTCTGGTCGAATGTTATTTGCAGTGAAATGATTTGCCGAATTGGTCTAAGGATGGTTCTTCTCGTTGCATCTTTATTTATCGTCCACCTGCTGTCTGCAACAACCGCTAAACAGTGTGGAACGGAATATTCCATTTTCGGCATGATGTTAACGAGACACAGTTTTAAGACGATGAAAACGTCTAGCGCAATGGAGTGTTTACATGCTTGTAGGGAAGACGTGAGGTGTCAGAGCTTGAACTATGTAATCGGGAAAGATAACTGTGAGTTGAATGACCGCACCAATAAGGCCAAACCTGAGCATTTTGTGCCAGATTCATTCCGATATCATCTTACACGAGACAAGAATAGGGGTGAGTTATTTATTTTTTTAAAACATACTACAGAAACTACAGGTCGACTAAACTGCAAAAAGAGCAAGAACCGTCGGCATATTCCATGGTATCACATGGACTCATATGTCAGCAAGGCACTCGAGTAAAAGACCAGATCCCTGTGCATATTTTGGCGTCGCACAGCAGTTCATCATAAAAGCTTTTTGTATAATTTTACATACAATACATAATATAGGCTTTTTCCTCCTCCTATTATTTTTCTTGGAACACTTTCTTTGGGAGGGCCTAATTAAGGTGATGGTTTTTTTACGGTTGAAAGTTACAAATTTTAGCAATTTCTTTTTTCCGTTATGGTTTAATACAAAACTTTAACGGCTGTCTCTCTTACGACAACTGCTAAAATTTACTGGTTTTTTATGCCTAATGGCTAAATTGTTTTTGCTGTGTTACGGCTAATGGTTAAACCCATTGAGACCCTCATTTAGAGACATTATTCTTCATCCTTAGGGAGCCAGCCAGTTTCTTTTTTCAATTCTGATCCCTCTGTTGTTTTCTTCCAGTCCCTCTCGGTTCCATACCTGAGCTGCCTGCGGAGACATGTAGAGAAATCAAGTTGAGCGAAGGTTACGCAATCAGTGGCAACTATTGGTTGAATTCGATTGTTAATGGAAAATCCCTACTTGCTCAGTGTGATATGGAGACAGAAGGTAAGTTTAGCTGTATTGAAACCTCTCGTTTTAGGCAACTGTTTTGGGGGGAAGTGGGGGATAAGTTTATGAAACTATTGAGCTACGTCAGTGGGAGAGTATAACAAGGTAATTTAGCCGTCGTTAGAGCGAATGACCGAGGGCTGACGCTCTTAACGTCAGCTTTGAAGAAAAAGTAAAATTGAATGAAAAGGTGATGCTACCATAACCTTTGAATCTGTATCGAAGTCTCAGAGGTGTTTCATGAATAAACTTGCGAATGTGGAACTTTCATTCTGAGAGCGTACTTTTTTAAAATATAAAATGCTACGTCTATAGTTTTTTCGCAATTTGCCTCATCAGATGTTGACGAGTGTAGTGCTGACGTCCAGATTTGTGGCTCTAATGCAAACTGCACAAATACCAACGGCTCTTATTACTGTTCCTGTCATTCTGGTTTCACTAGAAGTGGCAAAGAATGTGTAGGTAAGGACATTATGTATAGATTACTTTTGAAATTACTTATTCTTTTTGTGTGGGACACACAGAAGGCTTCTTGTTATAGAACTTTGCTAAACTGCTGGTCGTACAAGTTCACTTCATGTTCAGTACTTGTTCGTCATCTCTCTGTCAGATTTCTTCCACCATGTTCCTCTTGATCGACTTCCTTACAGACTATCAGTAGTATATCCGAGGATGACTCTCAACAGGGCTGTTGATGTTCTGTAGAGTACATCATCTGCCCATTGATATCTCTTTTGTCATATTTTCTTAGTCAGCTCTTCATTTTGGATATATGACTTTCATCATCTACAGTAGCGTCCCTTTTTTCGTATTTTTCGTTGAATAGGCATCAAGCAGTCTTCATATACAAGGCTGATAATTCAATAATGTAACAACCCACAGCCATATTTTATTCTCAAGGCAAATACAAAGTCGATCTCTATTTATAGGAGATAAAATTTTTATCTCCTAATAATGTTGGTATCCTCTAATCAAACATAATGTTTGAGGCAAGCTTACCACCACTCCAGACGTAACTGTCATGGCTAAGAACAGTTTTTGTATCCATGTGGATGTTTGATATTTTAAAAACCGCACAAATGTTAAAATTGTTTCATAGCTAAGATAAGCAAAGTCACATAGCTTTTTTTTCCAGATGACAAATATCTAAAATCAATTCCGAAGGAACTTCTTTTGTATCCCTTTGGAAAAAAGTCTTTCTTCGGATTGGACTTTTTAAAACCAGTTTTATCTTAGTTCCCTTGTTTTGCATTAGGAGATGATCAAAATTGTTTACCTAAAAAAGACTTCTCCATGAACTGTTCAGTGTGAACCGATAACTTTTTATATTTCCCAGATATAGATGAATGCACAGCTGGTGTTCACACTTGCCTTCTTGGAACAGCCACGTGCATAAACACTATTGGTTCATACAACTGTTCTTGTAACCTTGGTTACGTAGGGGATGGAAGAACAAGTTGCTATGTGCAGTCAGCCGGTCAGTGGTTTTTTCTTTTACAAGTAATGTGAAATCATTTTACTTACAATTGAAGAGGCTAACATTTTTTTTTTCATCTCATACTATCTCAGATATTTTCGTCTGACTTCAGATGCTTCACTGAAGATTGCTCTTCTTTATTTTTTAGAAATTAGGGCGGGTAATGATTCAGAAGAGTGAGTCGTGAGCCGTACATATAAATATTTTATCTCAAAGAAAATAAGAATGATAATTTTACTCGAATTGAGGTTCAAAGCTCTTTCCCACGCACATGATCAGAGGAGAAAATATCTTAATAACAGATTAATGAACTGATAAAATGCATGAAACAAGAATGTTGTCAATCATTTCGAACTGTGTTGAAGCGATTGAATCTCCTAAAGAGTATATAAAAAGCTATATAAGAAACGTAAAACACCAAGTAGACAAATGAAAATGGAAGAAATGAACTGAAACAACAATGAGGTAGCATCACTGTAACTCTAGCTGTGCATTTATCTGTTTTCTCTCTCAGAATGTCAAAATCCTGCAAGTCTTACGGAAGCTAACAGGAAAGAAACGTTCACCGGAGTTGGTTTATGCGACAATACACTCGGTCCAAATTGGTTTCGTTTCCAGGGAGCAGCTGGAAATAAAATGGCTGCCACATGTGTTCCAACTAACCGCTGTGGAACGCATGCAACTGGTTGGTTAAACGGGGTTCATCCTACAGTGAGCGAGGCTATAGTCACCAGGCAGGTCTGCTTTAATTGGTCAGGAGGATGCTGCAACTGGTCCATCAACATCCAAGTGAGGAATTGCAATGGATATTTTGTGTATAACATCAGTGGTACGCCTCCAGTGCATCCCTGTAATCTGCGGTACTGTGGTGCTGACTAGTTGTCAATGAAAACAATACGAAGCGCGTTTTTCTTATGGACGCTGTAAATCTTCGACTGATTTCATCCTCAAGGATCTTTCTCTGGCTGTGAAATGAAAGTGGTCTAGGTAGTCATGGTTTTTGAACTCGCAGAAAATTTTTTTCTCCAACAAATAAGGATACCAAATTTCTTTGACATTATTCAAGCAGATTAAGGGGGGAAATGTTAATGAGCAACAGATCGGTGAATAAAATGATCAAATTTTTAAATGTGAATAACGAATAAGGCGAAGGCTTACAAACACCTACCTAAGTTTAAAGTATATTAATGTCGGATATCAACCTTTGTTCCCTTAAACCCAGTCGTTCGAGGGTTTTTATTCTTCGCCTGTGGCCGTGTTAACAATGAACCCATGTTTAGTCTTCAATCACAAATCAGTGCTAAGCTCTAAATTCCCGTAGCTGTTGTGATAGCCTCACTAAATGATTTGCAACTTATTGTGCTTTAGTGAAATAAAGACAAATAAAAATAAAAAAGTGAACAAATTTGTGAAATAGAGACAGATAAAAAGTTAGCCAAATTTGTGAAAAATATATTGTTGTTTGAATAACGCAACATGGCCGCCGTTTGTAAGAACTATAATATTAATAATAATAATAATAATAATAATATTTAAGGAGGGAGCCCAACTCGCCACAGCGGTTTTCAGTGGGGCTCTCATTAACTAATTAATTCAATTACTTCAATTCATTACCTTAATTGATAAAATAATAATAATGATAATAATAATAATAATAAATAAATAAAATAAAATGTGTTTAAAAATAAATTTAAAAAGAGTCAAAATCTTAAAATCGATAACTAATCGAAATATCAAAGTTCAAAATTAATCAAAATCTTTTAAGAAAGATTTCAGCTTGGATTTAAAAGTAGATAAGAGATGTGTTTCTTTCAGATCAGTTGGAAGACTGTTCCAGTCTCTCGCAGCTTGATGGATAAATGTTTGTTTACCTCAGTTAGTTCGAGGAAAGGGTAAACGAAGATCATTGGAACGTCTTGTGTTATATGAATGAACAGCTTGATTTTTGATGAAATTAAAGTTAAAATCAGTTTCCCCAGTCAGACACTTGTAGATTGCAATGCAGCGATGAAAAAACCTTCTTGCGGAGAGTGACTTGAGATCTAAACTCCTCGGTGCTTCGGTTGACGAGCTTCGGTGTGGGTGCCCCAGCAAAACTTTAGCAGCTTTATTCTGTAGGATCTGTAATTCTGACATTATGGTATCATTGTTCTGTAACCTATAACCGGGTTTAGGCTCGAGTCGATTGTGCTCGTAAAACTGGCATATTATGCTCCTAGCACGGCTTAAAATTTCTTAAATTTATGCCAGAGTTATGCTCGTTTCTCTAAATTATGCTCCTCACATCAAAATTATGCTACTTGAGTTTTAAGCAAAATAAAGGCAGAGCACCTGGATAAACATAAAACAAACAGAAACTGATTACTTATCTGGTGACTGTAGCCCATCATTTCAATAAACCAATTATCAAACAATGTGTCGTTACAGGTTCCCCTGCATTTGTTCCTCAGAATTGATAAACATACAGTTTATCAATTTATATCATACGTGCTCATCGTTTCTCAGTCAATGGAGCTTCTTAAGTCAAAGTAAGGATGCAGAGTTATACGCTTATCAGCGTTTATTGTACCGAAGCATAAGACAAGCCTGAACACAGGAACATGATCTACTAGTGTATGGTCTTGTGAGCCGCTGAAAGAGGAGTTAATTATTGAGAATACTCTTTCTGTAGCAGCAGATGAGGGTTGCACTAGGAGAACCTTCATGACTGCAGACGATCAGTTTCCGCTTTAATCCTTTGCTTGTATATCATTGGAATTACTCCTTTATGTTAGAATGATGACTAAGACGATAGCCTTGCTTTTCAAGGAGCAGTCGGAGTTTATCTATCTTTCGTAAAGGGATTCCAGCTTTGAGGAACTCCTCTACCATCTGTAAACAGTATGCTCTCTCCTCAACCGGCAACGTGTAGTCCTTGCTCTGTGTATTGTCTAGTCTAAGCGCCTCTGTGATAGTTTGATCTCGCTTCTTGGTTTTTTTTTTATCTTCGCCTTGCCTGAGTCGTGCTTTTTGGAGGCAACATGATTTTGAAGTATGCTCTTTTAGAGCTTAGAAGCTCCTTGCAAGCGTCACAAAACAGTTTACTGTTTCGAAGACACAAACTTTCTCCGGGAAATTGCTTGATTCGAACGTTTAGGCAAATGTTTTTTGGATCTGGTGTATCTTTTCGCTATATTTTCCTTTAGTCGGTTTCAATACACGCTCCCAAGAGACTGAGGCTCTTTGTACGGCATTTCCTGAAGAACTAGAAGTGTTGGACGAGGATCCGTTCGACGAGGAGGACGCCATCTTTTATCTTGGATCTCCGTCAACTCGCTAGCGAGTCGTACTAGGGGTACGACTCGCTAGCAAGTAGGGCCTGAAACTAAGAAACGTTACAACGACCGCAGTGAATCCACCCTAGGCGCAACTCATTATTAGCAACAAACATTCTAGAAACATAATTCAGTCAAGAGAATTATATTCAATACAAAATTACGAAAATTGTTCACATCGTGGAAGTAAAAGAGCAGATTATGCCGGCAGTGCTTTTCTGTGAAAAAAGTTTAAAATTATGCTCGTGTCACCAAATTATGTTCAAAATTATGCTGGGACAATCGACTCAAGCCTAAGCGGGTTCGCAGTCAATTGCCCTGTTGAGTTCACAGGCGGGTAATCTACTGAGGACTGGAACCCCCGGTTTTCCCTTCACCTCCTATATTGCATAAACATATATCTTGATTCAAACCATTCTATCAACCTTATCAAGGTTGATAGAATGGTTGTTATCTGATGTTTTGCCCAGCCCCAAAACGAAGATTTTCCTTCGATACTGATTTAGTGGAAATCAATTTTTTTATACCGAATCGAAATTTATCTTTGCAAGTGGTGTTGTATGATTCTCTTTGCTGGTGCACTACAGAGGAATTGTATCAGTCAGTGAGACAATTTAGTGGCTATTTTTACAACTGGAATTTATTTCTACAAATATCACGTGCAGTGAAGTGAAAGTGTTTCTCAGTAAATAAAAATAATAAATGATAGAAGCTTACTACTCAATATTTACGATATTTTAAAAAAGTCCCGATGAAAAAATTTTAAAAAATGAAATAAAACAAATAAAACAAATAAATAAATAAACTGGTAGATATGGCTCCGTTGGTCCATCTGAGAGCCTATCCTGGCACTCAATTGTTATCTTAATTATTGTTTAAATCTTTGGCAAACAGCATTACAGTATGACTTTAGAAGAGGTGAATCGTCCGATTCCTCTCGAATCGAGTCGATTCGACGACATTTTCAACCCTGCCTCGTAACAGGTTGAAGAACATTTTCTACTTCTTGAAAATCGGCTTCCGGTATGACATTTCACATGAAGAGGGACGATTTAATCAGATTTTCGGTATCACAAGACTACTTAACCGCGAATTAACCTCCGGAAGATCGATGCTTCTTATTGATACATATAGCTAAAGATCAACCTTATTTGAGTCGATCCAAACACTATTGTCACTATCATTGTTACCAATATCACTATCATAGCTGCGAAACTCTTGTCATACCATTTCCCGTGTGTATCGCGTTTAGGTTTTAATTACCCGTGAGTGTTTGTATGTTTTATTAGTTACGTTGTGTACTTGAAGTTGATGTTTATATCGTTGTATATTATCACTTAATTTATGTCAAGTAATTTATCATGTTTTGTTGTCTAAATTTAGTCCTGTGTATCAATATTTACGTTCAGTCTTTAGAAGCAGCCTCTCGTATTTTAAATCCCTGTAAGGCTATGCACCGCTAACGTGGATGTTTTTCTTTATTGTGAGTTTATTCATAAGATGCAAAGAATTTCTAGACTTCCCAAGCAAAATGGAATCATCATTGACTCCTATTTCACTAAATGTTTTATTCCTTTACACTTTTATTTGGTATGTATTTCCCTTCTCCTGCAGCTTTTAAACGGAAGTGCATTCTTACTACTTTTAAATTCATCTGTTAGCTAGACGTGGAAAATGGGCTCCGCGCTATCGCTAATTTGGCCGCATTCTTCCCTTTTTTCTTAGAAACTTTCTCGAAGTCTTTGCATAAAAATAATTTTTCTCCTTTGACCAATTTAAGAAAATAATCCATTAGGTTTCTTGAGGGTCTCAATGGGGTGATGGCTTTTACGGCTAAAGGTTAAAATCTTGGCCAATTTACGCCTTACGGTTAACACCTTTCCATTGTTTCCATCAGACATATTTTTACGGTAAACTTTTTTTTACGGCTAACGGTTAAAATTTGTCAATTTTTACGTCTAACGGCTAATGGTTAACTCCACTGAGACCCTCTTTCTACAACTGTTACTTTAAAGCTTGCATCAGATTTTTTTTCTTCTGTTTTGATAGAGATACTTCGTAAATATACGTCCATTCCACTTTAAATCTTGCATCGGCTCATTATACTTTAGGTTGCCTAAATTTCAATCTCATTTTACTACGCCTCTAAATAAAGTAGACAGGGTTGTCCCCCGAAATTCTATCCATGCAAAGAATTATAGCAAGCTAAGACAACATTCCGAAATTTGCCAGATATAATTTTTTACCCCGTTTCTTGTGGGAAATTAAGAATCTTAGCCGACTAAACAAATCATCACTGCAGTATAAAATGAGCCTTTGGGTAAAAGCCACTGAGCTACTTCGAAAATTCTCATCTTTGTAAATTAGACAAAATCAATGTTCTATTTTTCCCAGAAAGAGGCCAGCGTATAAGTGTGTTTTGAGCCAATGCCTACGGGAAGAAGACCCCTCGATTTTCATTGCACTTCAATAGTTTGAATGTAATATGTTGTTCATACATAACCGATATCCCAGACATTCACGGCTGCCAATATACTTACCCTAACTCGTAGTAAATTTCTGCTAACGTTGTTAGGGTCACCGAAGTAATAGAAAAATTTCCCCCACACACGCACACTTGGTAAACAAACCTTCGACAAGTCAGACAGTTGATTAGAGCCAATCGAAAAGTAAAAATTTTCACTTGAAACTGCTGACTGATCGCTGTCTCCAAGATGCTTTACAACAAATGAACACTTTTCTTGACCAACCACATTGACAATCTCAAGTGCGAGAATTAACTTTGGAGAATAGTTTTATGACGTCTGCGCGCAATTGTTTTTGGTCCATGACAAATTAAATACTGGTGCCATGTTACTTGTCTCAGCCTCCTGTTTAATTCACTTTTAGTGTTCTGGGTGTCGCCAGAAAACGCTAGTGTTTTGGGTACGGGGATACCCAAAACTAAGGGATTCCCGAAACAACTAGACACCGCGCACCGCTCTGTGATATTGCTGTCTGGTTCAAACTGGATCTATTCCATTAACTGAAAAGCTGAGCTTCCGTCGAGCCATTTTATCTGAACTCCATGTTATTAAAAACGAGCAACAGTCAGAAAAATAGATACGTCAAGCTTCACTGATTAGTTTATACTATCAAAAAAAAAACAAGACAGCGACAACAACGAAAAAAAGAATACGTTAAGATAAATGAACGTTTAATCGTTTGTCTCACGATGAAAGAGTCAGGCTAATCAATCGTGTATTGATCACGACCTTTCGACTCCTATGCTGCACGTCCGCGTCAGCATTTATCTATGAACCACGATGGGAAAGAACACAATTGAAAGTTTAAACGCATTTAAATACTAGAATATTATAACCAACCATGGTTGCTTAGTTTTAAGGGAGTAAGTTTTAAAAGAAACTCTGGTGCTACGTCAACGGGAGAGTATAGCAGGTAATTTAGTGTTAACAACTGAGTTGAAAACCAAAATTGGCCACCATAAAGAGTTGAAAGGCTGACATTTCGAGCGTTAGCCCTTCGTCAGAGCGATTGGAGGAATTGTGGATTGTAGTGACGAGAAAAAAATAATAAATTAGCTGAATGAAAAGCGCTCGGTGATACCGTGGGGATTAAGAGTGCCGATTTGGAAGATAAATTTTTGTTCTAGCGTTTTACGGCTCTCCGAATTATCTAGACGTAAGGAAAGGCCGCAAACTGTCATATGTTGTTTAGAATGCTTAGGGAGATTGAAGTGTCTAGCGACGTATTTGGATGTGTTCTCGTCATTTAATTCTACGTCACGAAAGTGTTCTCGGAATCAGTCACCTAATCGTCTTCCTGTTTCACCAATGTATAACTTATAGCAATATTGCAAAATTGTAATGTAATGCGATGTGTGCATAGTTTTAGTTTTAAATTCAGTGCGCTTTACGAGAAATTCAGATAAACGTTTTTGCCTGTTTTACCCCGCGGCAAAAATAACCGGAACTATACCGAGATAAACGGCCCCTCCCTTTTGCGATATTTAGGGAATTTTTTTTTACCTTAATATTTTATTGAATATTTTTCCTAGTTTTTGTCTTTTTTGTTTTGTTTTTTTCCCTGTTTTCGTATTTTTTTGTTTGTTTTTTTCTACAATTTTGTTTTTTCGTTTTATTCCTTGGTTTTTGTTTGTTTGTTTGTTTTTTTAATTTCCTTTTTCTACCATTTACTCGTAGTTATTTTAAAGCCCTTAAACACTACCTTCAATTTAACTCCATGCAAATTTTGCCTCTCATCAGATTATAATCTATGACTCATTAATTCCAATTGCCTTCGTCTTCCGTGAATTTATAATAGCGTCGTTGATTCTTTGTTTTTCTTTGTCAATCAACATTCATCTCCTTCCCTAGATTAAAATCAACTATGAGTTACACACCGACATAAAGGCACCTTCTTTCCTTACCAACAAAATAATGGCCAATACAGGACAACTTTCACTTTCTTTGCAGCTCCTTGTCCTTCACTTAGGCATTATGGGTCAAGACTTCTGACAAACATGTATATTTTTGTTATAGAGCTGAACAACTTTTGCACTTGTCACGAAGTTACGCTAGTCTGGATCTGAAACCATAACATCATCTTGAATAAATTGAACAGCGGCGCGGTTCGATGATGTGTACATGTCTCAGTGAAAACATGTAGATAGTGCAAGCTTAAAAGTTTCGCCACAGACCGTTCCTTAATTGGAGGCCAAAATACTCCGTGAACACAATATTTTATCACTTCCTTATTCTCACAGAAATACCACTTTGAGCAGATTGCGCTTCCACTGTGTGGAAATTTGTGCTGGTCGGTGCTAAGAGATAATCGTCTGCTTCAAAGATATCCAACTTATTATTGGTTACTAAAACATCTCAAAAATTTTTATTTGTCGCCATCTTAGCAAGTATCCACTGTTGCTATGGATTCAGGAACGAGTTGAAGGCATGCCCAAACGTCATGAAGCTTTGTCTCTTCTTGATTTCTCAAATTAGAGTGTGCGGACTACAAAGTTCTAGACAGTGCTGACAGAAACATTAATTACGGAGCAGGGTTGGAATGTGACGACGATGTCGTCCGAGGATGGTGGCTACCAGATCGTGCATCGCCGGGCAGGTGTAACTCGCAAAGTTCGGCCTAGTTAAACGGCGAAGATCCATCTGTTGCCGACGGAGTGGTGATTAGTGGCTCTGCTAATACTTTATCTATTGATTCTTGGGCTTTCCTTTTTTAGAGCGTGTTCACAAAGAATTGCTGTTTCTGCGCAATAATCAACTTGCAAAAAAAAAAAAGTTGTTCTTTGTTTAAACACAACAAAAGAGCGGTAGGGATATATGCGCGCCACATCGAGAAAAATCGAACCCTCGGTGAAACCGATAACTTTCCTTTCACAGATATATTTTGAAAGTACTCGCCGAGGAAGCGATAAAGTTCCTATTTATGGAACGGGAAAGCTGTGACTATGATATATAGTTATGGGTAAAGCGCTACGTGAGGACAAGGCGTCAAACACCGTTTATTTTGAAGAAATTGAATGAGCTGCCTCCAAAATTAAAGCATCCATCCGTGGCAGTTAAAAAAAGTGAGGGATAGACTCGAATATCATATCAAATGAAGATATTTGTGGAGATAACTCCTTGAACGATAAGATATGATGACGTCCCTTACCTGGCGATGGTACTTCTCAAGATACGGTCGCGGTGATACTCGCAATAAAGCAGAAAATGATTATCAGGAGATTACTATGGAGCTTGCACACACTTTTCTGGCATCCTGATGAGTTCCTTACTCGATTTGACAAAAAATATGCGGAGAACATCGCCCGCGAATGACTGACAGGATGATATTATTATATCTAAACAGCTGAAGTCAGTCCTATAAGGGGAACGATATGAATTGCTGTTGCGTTGAAAAGTCATCAGAATTCCGACGTCGTGCGTGGTATTAAACAAAACGAAATTGTTGATCGAGTTCTTTTAGGTTTGCAAGTAGTTTCTTTATCGGCTATGATATTCGTCACTTATTCAAATAGTTATCAACTTTGAAGAATATTACTACGTTATGTTTTCCTCATATTTGTATTAACTCTCCCTTGAAAGCTTATTTCGATTACATTAAAAAGCCATTTGTTACAATTAATAATATTTTCATTATAGGACCTTGTTGTTGTCCTTGATCTGTTACTAAAAGTGTCGCTACCTAAATTGAAATAACGCTACTTGAGTAATAGTTAAACAGTGTAAGAATTAGGAGACCCGAAATACTCAATTTACGCAACGTTACACTTGGGGATGTAAGCTTGTTGGCTGTTTTGACTTTTTTTTTTTTTAATTGGTTGCCTAAAGATTACATAAGAATCCAGCACCAAACAAAGCATGTCAACGGAAGGACAGCGTCTACAGCGAGAGCACTATTCAACGAAGCCGTACCTTGCGTGACAAATACTGAATAACCACATGGCTTCAATTGCATAATCAGTCATAATTTATTTACCGTGCTATTTTCGGCACGGCAACTGAATGTAAACAAGCCATTGGTCGCGTGACGTTTGAGAAGCCTGTAATATTTTTGGAGGGGGTTAAATAAATTGTGTGAATTAAGGAGTGTCCACTTGAGCAGAGACGTTAGATTGTCAGCGATCTGTATTTGGATTTTCGTTTGTTCACTGCAGGATTTGTTCACACTGCTGAGAGGTAAGAATTATGTTCCATATAGATACGAATTTAGCTCACTTGTAAAATGTAGCCTCGCCAGACTTCTGCGACGCGAACAGAGATAATTCTGCCAAGAACTCACACTCTCCGCTCGATCGAACTGAAGTAATTTCCCCTGAAGTGCTTCTGCCGCCATTTCTGTCAGTTCACACAAACTTTCTGATATCTCCAGTATTCGCTGGTTTCCCTTTGTATTTTGAGTGTGTGGGTTTCTGATCTATTATAATTTCAACTTTAGCGACACTCGTCAAATGCAAAGCACGAAGACATAACGATTTTGAGAAAGTAAAACAAAGGCGCCTTCAGTCGTCCTTCTGCATGAAACGAGTTAAAGTTACACACTCTCAGCAACAGGGAAAAGGAAAACAGTGATTGTCAGTTAAGATGGCCTTAACGGGAAGTTTTGATCGAAGATTCTCTCAGGAATGGAAAGAATAAAGGGACAAACTGTTTCTGATCGTCTTGAAGAAAATCAGCTCTGATCATTAATCCTTCTGTCTGGTAGTTGTTCAGTTTTCAGTTTTTCGCGTTAAGCAATGGAAGTGTTTGAACTGATGACAAAATACTCGCTTAATTCCATAGAGTGTAGTTGATTTCATCAGACAGAAGTTAGAGACGAACTCAAAATCTCTTGAATCTGTAAAGTAACCAAATTGATGCTTGATTGCTTTGATTTAAATGCAGGTATGTCAGGTATTTGATAAAATAAATTAAACTTGCTCGCTGTCTGCTTCAGTGATTGACAAGAGGGTCTCGTATACTCTTTATGTGAAACACGATTGGGCGATTTTTTTCCTCGTGAATCGTGAATTAATTTTTTTCCTTTTCTTGAATCGTGATTAAAGATAATAAGATCTTTTTAGGTCCACGTGAAGTAATTTATTTAGTTAAACGTGACCCGTGAATGAAGAACTGAATTAAACGTGATTCGTGAACTATTTTGTATTGCACAATGAATTCCCAGCTTTTTGATGGTTTTAAAAATGTATTATTCTCGAACAGTAGTGGTTAAGTTTTGACCAGGGTTGTGACAGGACATGAAGTTTACATGGATTAATAGAAGTCATAAAACAGACCTCTAATGTTCCTTGAACAAATAATGTAAGACATTCTGTCATCATTTGTCACTTAAGACTGTTCAAGACTAGGAAAATTGAAAATTTAGTTAGGGAATTTGGTCTCTTACTTTCATGTGAAATGTCTCAAATGTGTGAACGTGAAAAAACTTTGATATTATTCGTGATGTGTGAAAAGGCCAAATATTTTTATGTGACTGAGTTTTACAAAGGGGTATAAGTCTGAACCTCTGACAATGAAAAGATACAAGTCAAATTCTTAGAGACCTTTAAACTCAGTTCTTTGTGATTCATTAACAATCTTTCTCATTAATATGTATAAGCACCACATCATACTTGTAATGTGCATTTCAAAACAAAAAATTTCAATTCCAGTATTAAATGACCAGTTGTCTCTTGGTTGCAAAAAGAACAAAAACTTTCCTGTACATATTCAATAATTTTGATCATTATCCATAAGATTTACAATGAAAAAGCTGATTGGTCAAAAGCATTCAATCAATATACAATAGTGTGTGAAGTTGACATGATAAAATGCAATATCTGAGGCTTATACTGCATTTATCTTCTCGAGATCAATGTCTGCCTAGTTTCCAAGACCTTAAAGTTTAGTGTTCTCAAACTTTTAAAAACCAAGAGATGCTCAAAATAGCTGAATGCCTCTAAAAAATTTATAATAAAACAATTATTTAATTCAGTTTTTTATATCACGCTCAACCTCATTCAATAATCACTTATTACTCTGGCATCAAGACTATGGATAGACCATAGTCACCCACGTTTCTGCTATGGTTGTTCACAGGACTTCCTGTTGTCCAATTCTGTTTGTAATAATACTCTTGATTAACAAATCAGACGACTGTTATCAATTAATCACAATATAATAAAATCTGAGAAAGAAACTATAGACATACATTATACATTTTCATAAAAAACAACAACAACAACAATTAACTCGGCAAAATGCAGGACAACAGTGTGCACACATCACTCATTCTGTCCCCTTCCACAGGCATGACATGATAATTGTCCCTTTAATGGTCCTATAACATGGTCCAATTACAAGCATGACACATACACTGTACTATAGGTGCTCAAATTGGGCTGGAGATAACCAATCATGTTCAAGAATTTTGTTATAGTTTTGATTAACAGATGAAAAGTTATATTTTCAGATGAAAGTTTTTCCTCAACACTTTTTAATTCTGATATTTGCAAATTATTGAGCCCTGAAAAGGAAATAAGGATTTCTTTATTGCACTGAGACAGGGTAGCCTATATTAAAGATCCATAGTTTTTAAAATTGGTGAATTTTTTTTTGCAAGTCAACCCTGAGTTTTTTTTAACCATTACTTGTTTGTTTGAAAAAGCAATAAATGCATTCAGTGCACATTTGGAGACATGAATTATTTTGTTCTTAGGTAAACACTCTCATTCCCTTGACCCTTTCACTCCCAAGATCTCTTTAGTAATTCTCCCTACTGTTTGCCATACCATTCTTATGATGTAAGTTTGGAGAATTTGGTATTGGATCATCTAATAATCCTCTAACTGATATTTTCCTTTGTTCATATCACTTACAATATCTGCTTGATGTTGTGTTAATATTTTGTAAGGAGAATTCCTGTATTGGTCACTCATGCAAGGTGAAGGGTTAAATAAATATGTTATACATGAGTTTTGATGTTGGTTAATGATTGCAGTTGTAAAATTTTAACTTGAATTCTTTTTGCTGAAAATTAAATATTCAAGAAGCCAGGCACAATTTTTAAAGTTTTGGAGACAGTCCCTGATAGATTTGTTAATTAATGAATGATCTTAATTTATTTTAAAGTCAACTCTCTGCTAATGGACACTCTCGTAAGTGGCCAGTTCTAATTATGGACACTTTTTTCAATTCCTCATTTTTCTGCTTAGTACCAATTGAGTTCTTAATCACTATCCTCAGTTAATTGATATAAACTTTTTCTTTTCACATTCCCTTCTTAGTTAAGCTTTTATTGATAAACATGAATAAGAGAATAAAACCAGTTTTCTCTACTCTTTGTTATTTTTTTATTTCATCAACAACATTCAATACATAACATAATGAGTACAGCAACTATGGGTGATTTGGATGATATTTCATGCAAAATATGTCTTCAATTGAAAATTGTAATCTTAAAACCATCATGCTGCTAGACAAACTCTGTAAAAAAAAAAGCAAACAAAACAAAGAGCTCTCATTCTGATTATTTTTATATCAAAACAGTGAATATGTCAGTGAGAAGGACTTATCCAATCAGTCTTTATTAAATGACTAGGATCATATTCTGATGCATTCACTCTGTTAATTGCAAGTAAAAATAGCTTACAGAGGATAAAATCAAACAACAGGTCTGAAAATTAGCAACTTCAAACTCAGGTCTGATATCAACAGCTTAGAAATCATTCATGCTTTGGTTTATTTACAACTGTCTTAGGTTATCACATGAAAACAAAACCAACCATAGATTTGCACTAATTATTTCTTTCCTGTTCAGGCGCGTAGCTGAGGTTTTCCAAAGGGTGTTCGTATGTGATTGAAAATGTAATTGTGCGCCGGAGGTGCACTTTCCTAGGGGGGTCCGGGGGCATGCTCCCCCGGAAAATTTTGAAAATGTAGGTTCTCTGAAACCCAATTTCCCGCATTTTGAGACCCATTTTAGGCAAATCGAAACTGTTTTTATTTTGTTTTAAAACGGCCTCTCTGGTGTTGTCAGTTATAATCATTTGTATTTCAGTCCGCCATTATCGAACTTCAAAGGGGGTTCGTTCGAACCCTTCGAATCCCCCCTCCTACGCGCCTGCTGTTGGATATTAATTTTGAAATGGAAGTAGTAATTCGTATGTTTTTGGAAAAACAGCTTGGAAAACTCAGTGTATTTAAATTCAAATATCTTTCTTGTTCATAATTGCCTTTTTGTTAACATTTATAACTCAAGCAATTGTTGATGAACACAAAATTTATACAATTAGATTTAAGTTGAAATGTTTCTAATGAAAATAAATAACTCAAGACCCTTTACGCATAAGCATCCGGTCCTTTACTCAAAATGTTTAAAAGAACACTGAAGGGTGGATGGTTTCCAAAGATAATGTATTACGAGGAATAAATCATTACCTTGGTTCAGTAGATGTTAAATTATAAACCTCATTCTTGCCAATTTTTGGTTCGATCCTTATTATAAATGCCACAAGAAAGTTAGTTCAAGTTACTCACCTTTAATGACAACTTGTTTTTTTCGTTCTGACAGTTACATTACTAAGACATGGATTCCTTTATTTCTAAAGAAAAGCTGAGAAGTAAGATTAGAACAGATTATGTGGGAAGAAAAACATTAAATCTGTCAGCGAGGGATTTGCTGAAACTGCCTAAAGCGGTGCTGGAATTAACTGAGTTGGAGAAACTTGACCTGTCACGGAATAAACTTAAAACAATACCTGAAAATGTTGGAAAACTAAATAATATTACGGCATTTTATGTAAGCGGAAACCAGCTGTCCATATTCCCCGCAAGTTTGACACAGCTGAAGAAACTCAGATGGCTGGACATCTCACGTAACAAACTAACCACCATCTCTGATGCTATTGGTGAGATGGTGGAACTGTGGGGACTGGTACTGAGTAACAACCAGTTGACTGTGTTGAGTCCAGCTATAAAACAGCTGAAGAAACTCGAACGGCTGAACATCTCACATAACAAACTAACCACCATCTCTGATGCTATTGGTGAGATGGTGGCACTGGAGGAACTGGATCTGAGTTACAACCAGTTGACTGTGTTAAGTCCAGCTATAAAACAGCTGAAGAAACTCAAACGGCTGGACATCTCACATAACAAACTAACCACCATCTCTGATACTATTGGTGAGATGGTGTCACTGGAGAAACTGGGTCTGAGTTACAACCAGTTGACTGTGTTAAATCCAGCCATAAAACAGCTGAAGAAACTCCAATCGTTGTTTGTAAAAGGGAATCCTTTTACAGTTGAAGGAATGAGAAGTGTTGTGGAGCTAGAAGATAGAGGAATAATTGACCGAGTATATTCAGATCTCCAAGGTGAGTAAAGGAAATTTCTGTTCACATTATTGTTGTGACGTGTGCATTTACTAAATTGGTTCTAATGATTGACTTGCAAGTGGTTATTCTGTTTATTACTGATTATTACAGGTAGCTGGCGATAGTTAAACTGTAAATACTGTCACAGTTTTTGTGTGGTTTAACAAAGTTGGCATCACTTGAGAAATACATGACATTTGTAATGGAAGTTTTTGTTCTAATATTGAAAAGCTTTATTTTAACAATTTGGCTGACATTGAAATTTAAGTTCATCAATAAGGAAATATGATTTGATGTGGAATCAAGAGAGTAAATGTTGTTACAAATCATTCTACGCAGTTAGGAATTATTGTTTTGAGTTTTCTTTCTATTGGAATGGAATTACGAAATGATAAAATGTATCCCAAGTTAATTCACTGTTAGGAATTTTTTTTTTTATTTTTGCTTTCCATTTGGTTAATTTGAAGTGTTTAAAAATTTAGTAACTTGTGGCTTATCAAACACAATAAACTAATGTGATTAAATTTTGTGAATTAAGTTATAGGCATATAGCTTGAATTTGTTATTAGCATGACTGAATCCTGATTATTATTTCCATAGAATTTACACTGCAGGTGTTTTTTGTGTAATTATTTTTAAACTTACAGTTGTTACCCTTTGGAAATATGTGTTTTTTTTTTTTCGTACACAATCAATTAATTAGTTATTGACTCCTCACTACTCGGCAGAATTAATTTAAGTCCTTGCCTCTCTCTTGTGTGATCAGTCACAAGTGGTTCTAATTCTTATTGTTCTGAAACATTGAGTCAGTTTAGTTTTGGTGTGCATGTTCTCAAACTCATCACTACATTTTATGCCAGAAGAATTATTATGTGTAACTTTTATGTAATAGTGGAATAAATGCATTAAGATCAGAAAAAAATAAACAGTTTTGATGGTTAAGTTTATATATACCAGCCTTTAACTCCAACATTATTCATGTTAGGCATTTATAGTTGTTGATTTGTCAACCTTTACCTTTAGTTTGCTTTCTTTTTCAATTAATTTTTAGAAATTTATCAATGCGCAAACTACCTTTTTCTTTGTGTTGTTAAAACTCTTTCTTATTAGGCCCAATGAGAGAGAGACTTAAAGCACAGCTGGCTTATGAAAGGGCTTTGCAAGATGGATATGTCATGGTTTACCGTGGCAGAATATTACTCATTGGTCAGGATCGAGCAGGTAAAACCAGTTTAAAGAAGAGTCTGCTAGGCCTTCCATTTGACTCTGGAGAACAGAGCACTGAGGGGATTGAAGTGGATCCTTCAAAGTGTGAAATTGATGTTGACCAAGCTGCAAGGAACTGGCAGTCCATTGGTGAGAATAAACCAGGACTATTGGAATGTTCTAAAGATGTGGCAAAGATTGTTGCAGAGAAACTTTTTACTCAAGAAGATCATCATGCTAGAAAAATGTCTATGCAGCAAGAAAAGCTGAGACAAAAAGACTCAGATAAAAGTTCAAAAGAAGATTTTGAAAAAGATTCAGCCCACATATCACCTGCAGATTTTGAAAAGGGATCTTTAGGTAGTTACAAACATGGCAAAAAAAGGTAATGTCAGAATTTTAAAAATGTTCTTCACACACATGTTTAAGGCAGCTTTTTATGACAGTATAGTTTTAAATATTTAATGTCAAATGAAGATTATGTGAGCCTTAAAGTGAAGCAAAAATTAAAATTGTTCAATTTTTTAACTGATTTTTTTTTTACTTTGCAGTGGTCTTAGCCAAAAAACAGGGAACTGCTTGAAGTCTAAACAATAATTTCCCTCCCAGTACATGTACTCTCATTTTATCTAATTTACATCAAACTTTGACACAGTTATTTGAGATGTGTAATGAGTTTGCTGGTGAGACTGCATCAGTGTGGTACTGAGAGTAAATAATTTCCCCTTATTTGATACTTTACTTAGGTTGAGGATAAAGGAGATTACCCATCAATAGATGCTATGGACAACATTAGCATTGAACACTCAATGGACTGCATTTAAGAGGAGCCCGAGGTAATTATTGATGTTGCTCAACCCCCTGATACTGAGAAGCATGTTCATCAGTGGTTGAAGTATCTCAAAGGCAAAGACATCAAAAGTGGTTTATTCCAAGAAGAATCCTATTACACTATGGATTTATGGGACTTTGCAGGGCAGCACCTGTACTATACCAGCCATCCTATCTTCTTATCACAGCGAGCACTGTACATATTGGTGCACAATCTCAGCAAGCCTTTGGATGCTACAGCTGAGCCCTGCATGAGACAAGGTAGTAATGATGTGAAATTGGAAAACCCTAACAATGAAACAAACATGGAGAATTTGCTGTCATGGCTGGCTACAGTACACAGTGTTGCCCTGGCAACTGATGACCCAGATGATGATACACAACATAGGCTTCCCTACCTCCGCCCCCCAGTGTTCATTGTTGGAACACATGCTGACAAACCAGTTGAAGACATAGCAATAATAAAGAAACAAATACAGGAGAGAATTTCTGGTATGAAATATGAGAAGCATGTGGTCAGACCCTTATTCTGCATTGACAACACTCAGAGGCCAAACTTGATCAAGAAAATTATCCAGAAGATTCAAAAGCTGAAAGGAAAACATGAAACAGGTGAGATATTTGATGTCATATTGTATCCTTGACAATGTGTTACTTGCAGTAATTGATGGTTTAATAATTGGTTACTAGCTTGTCTTTGCATCAATTCTTGGAACACTTAATTTGTGACCATTTTTTTGTTTAATCAAAGACCTTTTTCTGACCCTCCATGGGAAAATGGACATTAACGCTTTTCATTTCAACTGCAAAACCGTTTACTATCTGCTTAAATCCATTTAAATGGTTCATGAAAGTGTTTAAACGATTTGCTCATCCATTTAAAAAAATTTGCATCCGTCTAACCCTTTTGCAAAAACATTTAAGCGCTGTGCTTGTCCATTTAAGAAATTTTGTGTCTATTTAAAAAATTTTGCGTCCGTTTAAAAAAATTTGCATCTGTTTAACACTGTAGCAAAAGCATTTAAACAGTTTCCTTCAGTTGTCTGTTTTAAAAAAAAATCTATCTGCTCAACGTTACAGAGAAACTTTAAACCGTTTGTTTACCATTCTGTTATGAGCAGTTTGAAGTATCAATCCCACGTTTGGTTGATACTTGCCAGTTCTTGAAATGCAGAATGACCTTATCTTGTTTTGGTTTTATCTTTTCCACGGTCATAGAAAGTGAGTAATTGTCCCATTCTTGGACAAACGAGTTAAAATATCCGGTTGTAGAAACGTAGAGCATCAAGAGCCAATGAAGCCATTCATTTGACTATGATACTGCCATCAATCTTGTTTGATCAGAACAGTGCACCTGATCTTTGTTTACATATTTGGAGAAGGAGAAGGAGGAGGAACTCTTATGAAAAAGCTATTGTTTCTTAATGTCAGTTCATCTACCCTGTCTATTTAGCAGGCTTAACAATTATTACAAATTCTCAGCAACTGGAAAGCTATTTTGTTGTGGTAAATTGATATCAATGTTTATAGATTGATGTAGATTGTTGGAAAGCATTGAGTATGCAATAATTATTATTTGACTTACATTTACATGTCATCCAGCAGTTGTGTTGTGTGTCATAATTTTAAAACGTTGGTAGACATGCAGAATGTTTAAGAGGGAGTGGTAATTAAGGGAAGGATACTGTCTTGGTTGAATGACTTCAGGCTTATAGTGCAAGCTTAAGTTAGAGTTGTTTAATTTTTTTATTAGCTGCAGTATTCTTAGCTTTCAGTTACTTTATGTACCAGCATCGCCATACTAGGCCATATACATTTTTGCTGACAGATCTGTTAATTTCAGAGTTTGAAATAAGGAACAGAAGATGATTTGGGGAGTTGAAGAGTTTATCATCTTAGCTATGTTGTCAGCAATGAAATATCAGCAATCACAAATGTATGATACAAACTATTCTCATTGTAAACACATGTTTCTGTGTTACATTATGTTTTGCATTCATTTTCTAAACATATCCAGCAGAGGAAGAAGGAAAAGCAGATGGAATAAAAGAATTGCAGAACAAAATTCTGGAGGTGTTGAGGCAGGAGCCTTATATGGGGGAGAAAATACCTGTCAGGTAAATGAAAGTAACATTTTATTTGGCAAACCTCAATTTGTGGACTTTGGGATCAATGTTTTTCATGTATTCAAGTGGTTATGAAAAGTTTTTTGAAGAGCAGTCAGTGTTTTCATTATTAATGTATATGAACACAAAAATATCGTACCTACCCTATTTTGAAGTTCATCAAAAATAATTCTTTAAACATAAGACTGTACGAATACACAGCAGTCATATAAGTGCAAACAAATAAAACCAGAGATTCCAACCCTCCCGATTTGATCGGGAGTCTCCCGATTTGATGTCTTGCCTCCCGCTCTCCCGATTTTTACCAAATTCTCCCGATTTATCATAAAATTCTGAAAACTAGGGGAAAATTGCTAATCTTTAGAATTTTTGGCGATCTGTCACTGTGAAACACTCATATTATACTTACTTTCTTCGCGAAGAGCATTATGGTATGTTAGAACTCAGGCCGGAATGATGTCAAAATTCAGGAAATGGCACTTGAGAGAACCTAAATTTGCAAAATTTCCCGGGGGCATGCCCCCTGACCCCCCTAGAAGCTCGCGCCTTTGGCACTAATAATTACTCCATCACATGGGGTTGGAATCTCTGTAAAACTCTTATTCATGACATCATGACAATATTGTGTTTTTTAGAAAGGTGTGAATGTCTAATGGATATTTGAGAAGGCACAACTCTTTGAATTGAGATTGTTTATGTGAAAAATAGAACGATGTTTGAACTCTCGTTAACAGCGCGTGAAATTGCGCCTAATACAGGCGCCAATGCGACTAAATTTTTCACTTTGGCGACCAAATCCTGAAAGTTAGTCGCCAAGTTGGCGACTAGAACGTTTCATCATAACCTTACCAAGAGATATCGTGAGTTAAAAAGATTTGCAAAGATAAATCCGCGGCAAACTTCCTCGTTAAGTTTGTTTCCAAAACGTAGCACATGCATCTCGATCGATTACTAGACGCCATCTTGGATTTAAATGAGCCTGAACGTTGTATATCACCATCCTAGTGTCTACTTTGTAGCACGTTAAAGATCTTTTCCCTAACTCAATTTTGGAGGGTCTATCTAGAACGCTGACAGCGTAAAGAAAGATTTTGTTTGTCTTTGAAAATGGCGACCAACTTGGAGAATTGGCTACCACTTTGAAGAATTTAGGAGCCAAGTGGCTATCAGAAAAAAAAGTTAATTTCACGCCCTGTCGTAATGTGTGGAGAAAGCTAGACCAAGGAAATAGATGAGTTAACACTGGAAGACTACAAATAAGCACATGTCTGACTGAAGTTCACATCAAATTTTAAACCCAAAAACATTTTAATTATTCTGTTGCCTTCTAGATGGTTTTTGTTTGAAAAGGTGATTGAGGCTTTGGTGGCTAAACAGATTTATCACAGAAATCTGCAACAACTTGAGCACTATGCAAAGAAAGATTGTTTCATGAAAGATGCAAAAGAGTTTGAGTCCATGATCAGTTTTTACCATGGCCTGGGGATGATAATCAAGCACCGCAGTACAGTTGTACTAAAGGCTCAGTGGTTGATTGATCTGTTCAAACAGCTGATAACCATTCCACCTTTCAATAAACAGGTAGGAAAGAAATTTCATTTTTGAAAGGACCTAACTTAGAAAATGTTCTATAATTTAGACCAACAGAAAATGAGAGTGATATTTTTTTTAATAAATCAGCAACTAATGTAACAGCTGTAATTCTTTGATCTTTACAATTGTTGGACCTCAAATTATTTCATGTACCTTTTGCAGCTTTTCAGGTCATAAACTGATTTAGCCTTTTTACTTTACAAGAGACTTGCATTAACTTGCCACCACTAACAATAATTGTAGTCACACAAGTGAACAGTTCTTTTTACTTGCGCTAAATGGCTTCTGCGGTGGTGAATAACAACTAATAATCACCTCTGAGGAGCCTAAGATACAAAATTGCACATTAAGAGTGTAATCTCCGACCATTGTGATACATTGATTTTCTAGTTCTTGTACATACATGTTGTAAACATTCAAAAGGAACATTTAGTGGACTTCTCTTATCTGGAATTCCTGTTATTTATATATTTTGTAGAATGCTCGATATGCTAATTTCTGGCGGGAGCTTGAAGGAAGTGGTATCCTTAGCATGGAACGTGTTGATTACGTGTTCTCCAGCTTTATTGGACCAGGAATCATTAGAGAAGACATCCTGGACATGATGGAGCAATTTGGTTTGATTGCCAAGTTCTCAGTTTCCCCAAATGAGGAGAAGTACTTTGTACCAGCTCAGTTGAAGTCATCACCAGTAGAACTCTGTAAGATGGAACCATCATCAACTGATCCATGTCCATTGTATTTCCTCTTTGTCCATGGCTTTGTCCCTCATGGCCTCTTCTTGCAGCTTGTCTCGAGATCCATTCGTTGGTGTTCAAAGACATGGGCCATGCATCAACCCACCCTGTACCATAATGGGGCATGGTTCATCATTGGAAAAGATATTCATGATTTTGTCCTTATATGCAAAACAGGATTTGTGAAGGTAATCTTGAGACAAAAAGCACAAAGTCATCAGATTGTAGGACAGAACTCAGTTGAACTAGCAACTCTTGTTCGTGAATTTCTTGAAGACACCCTAAAGAATTTGTCACAAGAAATGCCATACCTGAGAGGACTGCAGTATAAGTTGTGTGTTGCATGTCCAAACTGTCATCAAGGGAAAGAAGAAATGTGTCGTGCATGCTCAGACCACATGAAAACCACTTGTACACACAAGGACTGCCTCCACCTCATTGATGCAAATGAAGGTCAGCCGGACATCTGTAAGCGAAAACCTTGGGATATGGTAGAACTAGTTTGTGGATTGGAAAAATGGTTCTTGAAAAGAAGCCAGGTATTGACTGTAATGATCTTTCAAGCAAAGATTTCTAGCCTCAGTTTGATGTATGCTTTGCTCCTCTAATTTACTTGATGTGAATATCAATTGGGCTGTTATCAGTGTTGACAAAGGGAGCGCTGATAGGTTGTCTTCCATTTTAAATATAAGTCAGAGAATTTGTAACAAGATGAAATTATTTTTGACTTCTATTCTTTTTCGTTTTACCTTGGTAAAGTATTGATCAATTAAAATTTATATGACCACAACCAAAGTTTTTTCAATGTAATTACCATAATGTTATATGACCCTTTTTTTCTTCAGGGTTTGTCCTCTACAAATGTATCTGCAAGATCACATGATGAAGCAAGTGAAATCAATCCAAAGAAGTCTGCCACAGCATTGAAGGTGACTCTCCTGGGCAGTGAGTGGAGTTCGTCAATGGGAGGCTTGTCCACCATCAACAGACAGCTTGCCATTCAGTTGGCCAAACACTCTGAGGTGGATGTTACTCTCCTTGTCCCACAGTTTGCCTGTTCTGAAGAAGAGAAGAGAATGGCATCAAGTCACAATGTTTCCATCCGGGAAGCCGAGAAACTTGCAGGCTTCAGTGATCATCTTGAATGGTTGAGTTTCCCACCAAGAGATCTTGACATTGACTTTGTGCTGGGTCATGGTGCAAAGCTTGGTAAGCAAGCCCAAGTTATCAGAAAGTCTCACAGTTGCAAGTGGATTCAGGTGGTGCACACTGCACCCGAAGAACTAGGAATGTACAAAGACTATCCCATGGCCATTTCCAAAGGTGAAGATAAGACTACAACTGAAGTGGAGTTGTGTAAGTTGGCAGATGCTGTTGTAGCAGTTGGACCAAAGTTGACGAAAGCCTACTCTTTTTACCTGCGCTCATGCGAGAAGCACCAGGATATAATTCAACTGACGCCAAGCACGTTCAGAGAGTTTTCCGACGTTAAACAAGCTGCAGTTGACATTGACAACTTTAAGGTTCTAACATTTGGCCGCGGTGACCCAGAGGACTTCAGCTTGAAGGGCTACGATATCTCTGCCAGAGCAATAGTTGAACTGAAAGACAGGTCTTACCATCTGACTTTCGTGGGTGCACCTGACGGTAAACAGGACGAGGTTGCAAAGAATTTACTCAAGAGTAAAATTGATAAAAAGCAGCTGACCGTGAAGAAATTTGTGCAAAGCGAAAAGCGATTGAAAGAATTATTTTGTGAAGTTGATCTCTGCATCATGCCCTTTAGAACAGAGGGGTTTGGTTTGACGGCTTTAGAAGCGTTGTCTGCTGGTCTTCCCATTCTTGTCAGTGGCAACTCAGGATTTGGTGAAGCACTGTGCACTGTACCATTGGGCAAATCATTCGTGGTGGAGTCTGAGGACCCTCAGGAGTGGGCAAAGGCAATTGCTGGTGTGCGACAGAAGAAAAGATCAGACCGACTTCAAGATATTCAACAGCTGAGGAGGTCATATGAAGAGAAGTTTAGCTGGGAGAAACAGTGTGACAGTCTTTTGGAGAAGATGAGGGACATAGTTCATGGTGAGAATGTTTTGAATATCCTTCAAAAAGTATTTTGGGGGGCTACTCGGCTTTTGGTCTCTTATTAACTGCATTGAAAAGCATGAACACCTCATATAAAAAGAGATGTTGAACATGAATAGTAATCAATCGTTTTATCCTCATTTTGTTTACTGTGTTATTAAAATAAAAGCTTCTTTCTATCTTTTTAGCTTCTAAAAGACGAGACACAAGTTTCAGAGCTCGGCAGATCCAAGTTGTTGACACGTCAACCGAACAGATAACAGTGGATTCATTACCGACTCCAAGTGAGTAAAAGAATTTAATAACACATAATAATTGATATCCCCAAAGAAGTACAGACAGGTTACAAGGAGATCCAGTAATTTTCTTTCCTTAACTTTGGCTTCAGGCCAGCTATGCTTCGTAAAAACTTAACAAGGTACTTTTAACTTATGAGACATGTTTGTACTTATACTGATGCACTCTTCAGTCAAAAACGTAAAACGTGTACAAACACATTTTATTTCCTTTTACTTCCTGATCCGAACAGACGGCTTGGTGTTGATACAGTTGTCTTTCGAAGCAATATTAAAGTAATCACATATTCATACGGTAGAGGAAATACATCATAATACTTTTCAAGCCCGTACTTTTATTTCAGGATTCCTTTCTCCAGTTACAACGATATGAGTGTGGACCTCGTAGTTAATTTTTCCTCACTTCCTCTTCTCTCTTGATTATTAGTGTATTCATTCACGGGCAGAAATCGAACTTAAAAAGTAACGTAACGGTAATTGACGGCTACAGCTTCTTTTTAAGGCTGAGTTGTTGGACGAAATAGAAGTCTGGTGGTTGAAGCTATTTTCCTTTTTACCCTAAGGTTTCTTCTATTAGATTGAGAACTGTTATTTTCCAACAGACGATTGTTTCGCTTTTTTCGTGAAGTTAGATTTCTAAAAACCTTGTCTTTTCTAGGTTCTCTTGACCGAATCATTCAGGAACTCCACCGGATGCAATTCGATGCAAGGAAAGCCAAGAGCAGAACAGATCTATCATTAGGGCTGAGGAATATTGCATCAGACAGGGGCTTCAGAATATCTGACAATCAAGGATTAGGAAATTGCATGTTCTACGCCTTGTCCGAACAACTGGAAATTGTTAAGGGAATCAAAATCCCACATGGCGAATTGAGACAAAACTTAGTTCAGTACCTCAGGGGCAACCCAAAACTTGTAAGTTGATGTTAGTATGTCTAACAGAGTATGTCAAGTGATGTTATTTAATGAGTATGATAAAGATTTACCGATGATACAGGTTACTTGGCTAACATCACCAGAACCTATCCCAGTTTTCACAGCATGAAGTCAACCAGAAATATTGTTACTCCTCCTGTATGGAATGATGGTCTTTTTTTCAGGAGTTCTGATACCAGCTTGTACTCCTGGTTGAAAGGGGAACTTGAAATATTTAACTTAATTATTTAAGAAGCCACACAATGACGTTGGTTACAGTTAAATTCATATGTTGTTTAATGCGGTGTCTGAAGACGCAGGCCAACCCGGTTTTAGTCATTTTAATATTTAGTTAAAAAAAAAGTTGGCTTTAAACCTCCATCAGAAAATAGAATTCTAGTCATTCTCTTAATGATGGATCTTTTTTGTTGTTTTCCTGCTGTTTGCAAAGTGTTTTGATACATACACAGACGTTTTGAAAGACGTTTCAATCACAAAATTTGTTACTATGCAGTAAATTGCTACTCAAAGGTTGTCTCGTACCATTCTCATAAAATTACTACCTGACTTGTACTCCATGCGCTCAACTCCTATCAACAATCCTTTCAAGTTTCCTTCTTTAACTGATTCTTCTTACAGCCGGATGGAACAGATCTGTTTGACTTTGTCCATGGACATCAAACATGGACTGAATACCTTGAACACATGGAACAAGATGGCGCTTGGGGCGATCACGTGATTCTGTGTGCCGCAGCAAACTACTTTGAAACGTGCATTCATGTGGTCAGCAGTCTATCCCATAGCAATGATGCAATCATTACGCCACATTGTCCAGTTGACGAAAGCAAGCCTCTCGTGCTGGGACATATTCATGAGATGCACTATGTCAGCCTTCAACCCGTGCAAGGTAACTGGGGACTATTGTCTGATTGGCTGGGAGCAACTCGAGAATCCTGGTGTTCTATTGGCTAATCCAATAACCCATTCGAAAGGTGGGAAACCGAGAGATGGCGGTTGCAGCTTTGGAAGAGTTTTTCTCTCATTCATACTTTGGTCGTTGTTTTTGTGGAGACCTTGCCACCATTGCGAAAATCTGACATGGCAGTCACAATCATTAGTGCCTAATGATCACTGTGGTGAACGGTGATTCATCCCTAATCAAAATGACAGCGAGTGATCTTAAAATTGGACGAAGTGCAAGCTTACACGAGTGCCGATCAAGAGCGAAATTTGAGGACAGCGAATCGTTTTTTCTTTTAAAATGCAGTTTTTCGACATCGTTTGGGGTGGCAAAGCATAGTAGAGTTACCATAAACAATAAAGTAGATCTACCTTGAATAGAATTGCGTAAATTTGGTGTTCCTTTGAAATGATAGTCGTTTCTGGTGAAAAAAGGAAAACTTTGCGCTTGGCGAATTGGAAATAAACAGCACCATATTCACAGTTTTCAGAATCCCCTCTACAAATATTCGAGTTACGATCCAAAACAAACAGAGGCAGATGAACTTTTAGTGGAAATTCAAAATGGCAATGGTTACTCAACTGGTTTTGGTCGTTCAGAATGAACTATGGCCTCAAACTATGGCCTTTCATAGCACGAGAGCGACGCGACAGTCAGTTTACTTCATGTAGAGTTATTTGGCTTTAAGTGCCCTAGACTTTGGTCGTGGAAAGTGATACATAAATTCCAAACAACTGGTAGTAGGCCTTTTATCAAAGAAGAGCTCCATAAGTACAAACAGTCATAAAAAGTAACAAGGCCTAGAAAAAAATGTCGCAAGCATGACACCTTAGTGCAGAGTACAGCGGAAATCTCATCATAAGTGGAGCTTTATTCGATCTTTGTTGTGTCCATTGGTTGGTTAATTTTCCGGTTTTAGACTTCAATTGTCATACTATATTAATCGATGAGTCCGTTCAGCATGTTTTTGAAACATAATCGCCTCTCAGTGATGTTAAGTAATTGTTGATACGACACGCCAGCGAATGTGGCTGCTTAAAACACGAATCATTTCTAGTTCTTTACGCTTTCTTGAGGCCAAATATCTGAAACGGGAGAGTGATGCAGCAATTTCCTTATTCTGAGTATAGAATTGTAAGTAAGGAATTATGAGACCTTAAAAAAATTTAAACTAAAAATTTAAAGAGGCAAGGGGTGTGAAAGGCGAATAAAAATAATAAGAAAACACATAGTCCAGCAACCAGTCAGAGAGCAAAGCATTCACATTTCTCGTTACCTTTAGTTACAGAGTATCACCTCTATCAACTATTTACAATCTATTGATAGTTTTTAGTGTCAAATTCTACATCTAACATTTGTCCACATGTATATGCTTATAATATATAGATTTAGCCAAGCCTAAAAGCGGAGCTCGCCTTTTTTTTCCCGTACGTCTCAAGGGCACAACGCCTTGCCCCGGCCAGGACTAGATCCTGGATCGTCCGACTCGGAGGTCAGTGCACTGACCACTGGACTACTGAACAAAGCCGTAGCATTAGCGTGCCCGCAGTACAATTGACCACGCATGTTGAAAGTAGCACCTTGTGCGGTGGTACCGTCATACGGTCGTACATCTAAATTTTTTCGGCTTGATGGGTTACTACTATTTTGTATAATTATGGGGCTACGCTCTGCGAGCTCCGCTATCCTAAGATTACAAGTTTTGCCACTTTGTATTATGTTATAAAGATCTGTTGTCAAGCATTTAAAGTTATACAGAATAGCAGTAATCCTGGAGGACTGATTGAAACCAAAGTATAATGATAAAATAATAATACCTCTACACATACAACAAACATTGTTTCTGGAGCTTGAACACTTTGCGCAAAGGCTTCTTCAGCAAAACCGAAAAATGTTCACCAGCTAGGTTAATTTGCAACATATCGTTGGATATTAATAATTAACATTATTTGAGATTGTGATTGTAACTCAATGAAACTAAACCATTACATCAGACAGTGCTAAAAGAGAGTTGTCCCAGGTCAACCAGTGCTTAACCAACTTAACAACTTATCAACAATCATCATTATTGATACAACAATAATTATTACGATCACTACATGAATTTTTTACCTCACTTTACATTTAAGCCAGGATGTGTAAAAATAGTTAATATAACATCTGAATGACGTGTAGCTGTTGTATTCAACATGTCATTGAAAGTCATACAATGTTACTATCGAACTGTGTCAAATAGCTGACAGGAGCCTATTTTGTAACAGTCCATGTGGGCTCAATTGGACTTATATATGTGACATATTTAACTACATTAACCATCCCTGTGTAATTTTACTGTGATTAGAAACTTGACTCAAAGTGTATTGACTTTCTCCTTAAAATTTGAAATCATACCAACATTGGATAATCTGTTATACCTTTCTATAACCAGATACCATCAGCTCATTTCCCCCTCCCTTGGACCCTTATTAGAACACATAAAAGCAACCATAAGTACTAGAGAAGAAGAAGAAGAAGAATAAATGGGACAAGATGCGTAACAAACCAACTCAAAAGCTGTAAGTAGTATAGTTAAGAATAACAAAACTAAAGCTCACTTGAAATTTTAAATTTGGAAAGACTTGAACTAGAAAATGTGTTAAAGAAAGAGAAAACGTCATGGTTTAACATATTAAATTGAAGCAGCAACATCATCTCCAAGCAACATCTTCTGACCATTTCTCTGGCCAAAAGTAGGAAAAGGGGTTCAAGTATTCAGCTGACAAGTAACTAAGGTGACAAAACAATGACAATATTATTTCAATACATAAAGAAAAAAATTATCATAAACAAATGACTTGATTTTAAGGCCTCCCACATCCCTAAGCAGTGTTTTAATGCCCTCTTCTCTTTTGCTGTCAAACCTGTATGATTATGAGGTAATAAAAACAATAAAAACAATTCATGAAAATGAACATAATTATATAAAAACTTTATATTCCACATTCTCCCTCCCCCTTCTCCATGCCAATCAGAGTCCTGATGAACAGCCACAAAACCAGAAACTGTACCTTTTCAACATTGCCTGTGGGATAAAACAAGAATTGAATTTCATTCTTTCAACTGTTTTCCACAAAATGATCAGCACATACTTCATATGATCACACAAAATTTCATGTACCTTTCAACAAAATTTTTGACGGGATCATAAATGATATAAAAAAATATCAATTGACTTCCACATCACTCTGTATCAACATTCCATTAAACATGAAACACAAATGCAGCATCAAAGGGAGTGGGGTTCACTGTCCAATCCCTTACAGCTATAAATTTAATATAGAAAGCCATTTGTTTGATTTTGGCAGGCCCACAGGCAGCAATAGCAATCTAAAAAGCATGACTCCCCATTAGGCCCTACCAGAATTGACTGGCGGCGAGATCAGCACTGTTGCAAGCTTTTTGTGATCTGATCTTGTCACCAGTTGTTGAAGGGTACTTGCGTAAAAAGAAAAGCTGTTGATCTGGTACACCACTTTTAACCACACCCGAAAACCTCAGCTGAGGATGATTTATTATCCCAGGGGTACTGTAGGTTGGCTGCTGGTAGCTAAGCCGATTGTAGCTCTGATTTCCATAGATCGAAAGGTGCTTGAAAGCACCAATAAGGCCTATTGGCGAGGGCTCCTGTGGTGAAGGCAAAACCCAGTTGACCAGCTGACTGAGACACTGAAATTACCCACTCAGCTACATCATTATTGATTTGTCTTTCCTGTACAATTGATGGGCACTGTGGAAAAGAAGTTAAAAAAGAGGTGTTAGTGTTTGCTGCTTGTCTTCGAGCACACCGCAGGCATGTACAAGATACAGAACAAAGCTCTGATGCACATGGATTCAAGGAGCACAATGGACAAGATTTACGTGATGCTCCTTGTGAATTGAATGGGTAGTCTTGATTAATACTACTTCTACTCACCACCTGAACTGGTGGGGGTCTTTCGGAGACAGACATTACATGAAGGGTCAAGTTCTGAAAGATTTGTTCGATGTTTGCATTTATTGTTGAGGTAGGGAGGTCATCATCATCATCAGCAGTACAATGATCATTCCTATCTCCACTACCTAATCCCTGTTCTCCGTCAATGATATTTTCATCATGGTCGCTTGCTGTGTTTCTTGAGAGATTAACTGATCTATTTGCATGAAGAGAAAAAGACCTGATTGCATTTTCAACTCCAACCCTGCAAATAGGACAAACATTAGAGTCAGTTAAACATTCCAAATGATAGGAATGCCAGCATGCTTCAAAATTTTCCATGGTACATTTCCCGAAACTGGGCAGTCTGTCAGGTCACACCTTTTCTCCCGGTCAGGACTGGGCAAGAACTGAAAACCAAGAGGCATGTTGTCTGACCTTATGGTACATTCCACAAACAAAGGTCTCGCTTTTGCCCTGGTCTTCTTAGCGAGGGGTGAGCTGAGCCAGGAGTGTTTGTGATTAAACTTAAAATTTGCACAATTCTGGAGACAATCCTTGAAATCAAAGAGGTGTTGTAGTAATCATCTATCATCAACAAAATTCGGATCCTATTTGCAATCAACAACGTGCACATCTTTGTTTTGTTTTCCAAGTGACTTGGAATCTTCAGAGTCTTGGTTTGCCCTATATCTGAGCTTGTTTGAGTTGTTCTCTCGAAAGAGCTGGTATCAGTGTTTGAAAGCCACTCGACACACCTTCCAGTCATCAGAACTAACTACTGATCTCACGCTCTATTCAACACGCACAAGTAAGATTGAGTTAATTTAAGTCCTGCACTCTATTCGGCACGCTTAGAAAACGCACATGTTCACGAGGATTGACTACAAGTCTCGAACTCTATTCGGCACGTACATAAAACGCTCAGAAATCTTTCATGTCAAGTGAGAATGACTTGTCACACTCTATTTGGTGCGGTCAGAAAACACATATGTCAATTAAGGTTGACTACAAGTCTCATTCCCTAATTGGCACGCACAGAACACGCACATGTCAAGTAAGATTGACCTCGTACTTTATTGGGCACGCACAGAAAGTGCACATGTAAAGTAAGATCGGCCTTAAGTCTCGCACTCCATTCGGACTCGATACAGAAAGAAGATTTGTGGATCTCCTATCTTATTTTAAAACTCTCTTTGGGAAGCATGAATATCAGTCTCGCACTGGATTCAACACGTGGATATAGCTCTTTTCTTTAACAATCTATTACTTTTGTAATACTGTTACTGTTACTCGTCAGCTTACCTGACAGCTGCGTATAATGAAGCTTGCCTAGCCTTACATGAATTTACACGTTTGGAGGTTAAAGTTCAAATGGTTGAACTCATACATCGTCTCTTATTTTTTTTGAGAGAGAAGCTTTGATATCTTTATATAGGTACATAGCAAAAGATTTTGCAACTTGAGCAAAAAGTTACGAATGGTTCTGTCCCGTAATTGAAAATGTATGTAGATATTTTGTAAGCGCTTTTGATAATCAGCAATCGCAGATCGTTTTTACCAGGTTTTTGTAATTGTTGTTTGTAAGCACACACTACCATTTGTTATTACAACGTGGTAGTGATGGGTATTACGCATTTAGTTTATCTTCCCTTTATTCTTACGGTATCCGGTCACTTCGTTCCATGACCACTTCGTTCCAAACCACTTCGTTCCATCCTTACCATTTTCACAACCCGGCATTCTTGAAGTTCTACTGTCACTGAAATAACTCGGGAATTGGAAAATATAACTGACCCAAAACCGATTACGCTTGGAAATGAGAGTAAGAAATTACACTCAACTAAAAAGATGAATATTTTCTTAAGAAGAGGAACAAAATATGGCCAATTGAAATTTAGCCAGACGGATTTCTACTCAATTATCGTAGGCAGTCACTGAGTTGTTTGATATTCCTGCCGCAGTCTATCTTTTGGTCAAAAGTCACTCTTAATGATTGCTGAAAACTGAAACTTAAGGCTATGCAGTTCGACGAAGCCGTATCTTGCGTGACAAATATTGAGAAACCACATGATTCCGATTGCATAATCAGTCATAATTTATGCATCACGCCGCTCGATTCGGCATTTCACAAGGTACTCATTATCGAGCGCCTGACTCACGGAGCTCCCATAGCGCATCGACGTTATCTGAAAGCAACTAGCGGCGCGTTAGCGTCAATTTTTTCTTGGGGGCTTGCGCAACGATCTTTGCCAAAAAGGAGAGACTGTTAGTAGTCTAACTGTTAATTTCTCAGGGTATGTAGACTTCGTGAAATTATTTCTTGTTTATTATTAAACAGTAATAACATGATTTTTTTCTTGCAATTTAAGTTAAATCAGCATTCGTAAATTTTGCAGAAATCTGAAATTTCAAAGAGGAGAGGAAAGCAAGATATTTTATTGCTATAGACGTTGCTTGTAAATGACTTTACTTACAAATAGTTTGTAGATATCAGAAAGATATTAAAACTAAAAGTATGATGATTTTAGAGGAAAACTCTCTAAAACAACACCTGAAACCTGCTTTCTCCCCGGAGCAAAAGAACTTTTTTTTAAATATGTATTTACATTCGCCCAATTTAGCTAGGATTAGATTTCTGAAAAAGTTTGCTTTTGCAGTGATTTTTCTCACGGTAAATTGGCAAAAGTTTTGATCAGCATAAATGTGAAACTTTCTAAACTTGTGACATGGGGAACCTCTGAATCCATATAAACTCTTCCAAGAAATATTATGAAAATGTGTCATGATAACGTAATATCAACTTAAAGCATTATCAAACTTCCCTACGTGGAAGGTTAAACCGAAAAGTGATTTTCAATTACGCTTTTTAAAAAGTTTTAAGAAGAAATATCAAGAAGCTGTTTTTGTTTGCAGATCACAACAGTTATTTTCTGCATTTATTTGCGTTTTCCCTGTCTATCCAAGCCAAAAATTCGGAGAAGGAGACAGTTCCATTGCCATCTTTGTCCACACTTTTGAGAGCGATGGCGATCTGCTCCTCGCTGCATAGGTTCCATTCCTTGCTTCCAGAAGCCAACAAAGCTCGAAACTCTCTCCTGTCGATCACTCCACTCGCGTCTCTATCGTACTTTAGAAATTCGTCGGCAACTCTTCGGACGTAAGCGTATCGGTTTCGGTCGTCGATCACATTGAAACCTTCGCCGGCACGAAACCACAGTAAAAACTCTGTAAGAGAGACTTTCATATTTCCGTCTTTATCGACAAGCAAAAAACAAACTTCTGCCTGCTTCTCGTCCAATCCCATGTCTCGCAGCATCGCTAAAATCTCGGTTTTCTCTAAGCATCCACTGTTATCCAAGTCGTATTTTCTGAAAATGCTCTTGATCACGACTTCTGGAACATCATCACGAAAGAGACTTTTACCAGCCATATCCGCCGATGTAGACTTCAATGAGGAGCACAAGCCCAGAGGTTGTTTTCAAACACGGATTCACTCAAAGAGAGATGTTTAAGTCTGGCAAAACCTCTGGGAGACAGTTATCCACATCTGTTAATCGCTGCAGTATTTATTTTAAGTGTTGATTTCCATTCAGCTTGGTTTGTTGGCGGACAAGCGTAACTCAATTGGGTGTAATTGACTCTATTGGGAGTCGATTCAGAAAAATTGAACTACAAATCAAAACTCGATGTGCAAAACAAAACATTCGTAGTTACCTTTAAAAATATATATACCTTAAAAAGACTAGCCATAAGAAATGAATAAATAATAAAGATGTTGAGGAAAATAATTGTGATCTTAGCGTGTCATTTTGAGCCGGCGATTTATCAAACCTGATTGATTCTTCTTGGTGAAAAAAAAAAGGAAGAAGAAGACTACAGATATTTAAAGTACTCTTCAAAAAAGAATCTCAGCTTCAGATAATTCCGTCTTTGTTCTACAAAGCTTCCCGTTTCTTTTGAGATGCAAATTTAGTCTAGATGGGGGCCATGAATAATGAAAACACCTTAATTTTTATTTGCATTTTATCCCCTTTCTTTTGATTTTCTGCATCTTTTGGCAAGAGGTTTAGTAGTCATAGTCTTTTTAAACTCCCTAATCGATACATGACCAGCTCGTGAGGTCCCTGAGAGATCATTGGTCAGCATGCAGCTGCAGGTGCACTCTCCGTTGACTCCGTGAAATGTGGCTTAGGACGATATCTGACATATAATAAAATATGTGTTTATTGTTCATCGTGGTGTAAGATAGGAGATGAACTTTATTAGATTGTCTCACGATGGAGTCACTTTGGATGTTGATCGCGACGTTTCGACCGGAATACAGCTAGTCTTCATAAGGCGATGAGGTCGATTGTTTACGCGTCGCTATTTGTAGCACGTTGGTTTGTTGCTATTGGCGCATTACGATGCAGCATTAGAGGCACCATATTGCTTTATATTAAAGGGTCACGCCTGATCAGTGTGTTTTTAGCGCCTTTGTCGTTATTTTGATTCGGGCACAGGCGTTCCAAGCTCACGTCTTGAGAAAAAGCAAACGATTAATTTAGGAAAGCGTCACGCGTTGTGTGATTCGGTGTTAAGTTTTGCGAAGAATCGTTGAGAATTTAAACACATTATGAGGAATAGTATGTTCATATTTCGAAATATCTATCATAGTAAATCGACCTTATTTCGTTCTCCATACAATTCCTCACAACGTGTTAAAATTCTCAACGGTTTCTCTCGTGACTTAGCACCGAATCACACAACGCGTGACGCTTTTATGAATTAATCGTTTACTTTGCTTGGGACGCCTGTGATTCGGGACCTCAATATTTTCCCCTCAAACCCACGTAGGGCAAAGGGTACCAAAACGGCCGTAGCTTTTATCAATATTTCATGGGTAAAAAAGAAAACAGGTGTCATTGCCCAGAAAGCAGCTAATCCGCTAATTTAGAAGAAATCTATAACACTACTAAAAATAAATTAGAAGATTTGAAAGACAGGCAAACGGCTACCATAAAACGATCAAAATCGAGGCTGAAAATCCAAACTCAGAAATTATATTCTTGGGCACAGGAGTGGACAAAAACGAGAGGAAAGAATTTGTAAAAGGGGAAGCTTTCCGAGAAAAAATTTGACATATTCCACGTTTGATACTAACTGCTACAGTGTTTCAAGACATACGCTTAAATGGTAGCGGATACCAAGATGAAATTTTGGAGAAATTAATGTCTGAATTAAATTTCATTGGGGGAAATTTACCACCAGAAATTAATTTTACTAGGAGCCGGAAAGGTCATTAAAAAACTTACACAGGATAAGACTTGCAAACGATCGTAAACGGTTCCCCGTCTAACGGTCACTCTGTTTGACTTTGCTCCGAAATGTTACGTAGCAGGGCCTCTGCAAAATCGCTGCCTGTTTTCTTGCCAGATCCTAAAGTTCTCTGTCGCTCATTCCATGTTTTCAAGTTGATTTAGTAGGCCATATAAAATGGAAGCTTTTCACACGTGCAGGACGGCCTCTTGTCGAGCAAGGGCTTCAATATCGCGAACCCGGAGTGAAAGCGACGAAAAAAGCAGCAAATAGACGATAGTCATTTAAGAAAGTAGGTGAGGGCATAAAAATCCTTTGTGGAAGTTCACGTAATCCTGGATAATGTCACATCTTCAGGATATCCTAACCGCGGAACAGTTGGCGCGTTGAAACCGCGGTCGAGAGGTCTAGGTTCGAGTATTACCTAGGTCACTGCGTTATGCTCTCGGTATAGCCTACGTGTAGCCGTACCCTCCCCCCCCTTAGGTGAAATAGAGTTTCTCCTTGGGGGGGAGGGTACGACTACACGTGAGCCACTCTCGACAAGACCCTCTTTGCGGTGGGGTATAAATGGGTACTGGTGAACAATAAGGAAAGCCAGATGGAAAAAGCCTCGAAGAGAGGTTACCAGAGATGCACAAAAATCGAATTTCACCAGGGGGAAGTAATAATACTCCTGGTTGCTTAATGCTATGGCAACAGGGATAAGCTCCAGCTGGATGGGCTACTTAGCACGAGACCACACTTAACCTCTGACTCTTAAATGAATTGTCAAGTGGAATGAAAGCTGCAATTAACACATCAGAGCAAAAATTGGCGTTAAAAGCACGAAAAAATCATTAAATTTTCTTCAGTCTGCCTTTTCGTTGACCACATTTTTCAACTTAATAACATTTTAATTGCAGGTATTCTATCTGATTCTCATATCCTCATGATACGCCCAGCGCTGAAGAACCAGTAACCTGATAACGTCGCATTCAAAATGAGATAAAAAAGAATGGAGACAAATAAACAGCTAAGAAATAAGAGGACCTAAATGGGGTAAACCGATAGCTCTGAAACGGAAAAATAATAACGATAATAATGATAATGATGATGATAATAATAATAATAATAATTTTAATAATAATAATAATAATAATAGTTAAATGACCGTTTGGCTAAAATTTGACAGATTTTAACCATTATTCGTAAAGAAAGTTGTGGTTAATGTTTCTCTTTTAACTAGAACAGAAAGAAATCAACCGTTAGCTTCAAAATGGCCAAAATCTTCACCGTTAGGCGTAAAAGCCATCAACCCACTGAGACGCTCTACTAAGGGATGGATGGATAAATGGATAAATAAATAATTAACAGAGCATTGCATAAATTTTACCCCCAACCGACCGTATCAGTAGAGAAGCAAAACGCCCCTCTTATTTGTTTGATCTGAGGAATAACTGTTTTAAATTATGAGCAAAAGCTCGCTTCCTTTCGGTAAGATCTCCGTAATTAAGGTAAAACCTAACAAAATTAGACACCAGAACCGGTGTGGGGAGACAGAACAGTACCACCCCACTCATGGCGCAAAAAGAGCCTACAAATTTCCCCAGGGGGGTTATAGGAACCACATCGCCATAACCTACACTTGTCATGGTGATTATCGTCCACCAAAAGGCGTCTGGAATGCTAGCAATGTTTGGATCTCCTTCGGCGTAGAAAATTGCGCTGGAGAATACCACGACTGCAACTATGATGCAAAATCCTAACGTCTTAAGCTGCTCTACACTGGAGTATATAGTGTTGACTAATAACTTAACGGCGTCGCTGTATCTGGAGAGTTTAAAAACACGTAGAACTCTAAATAATCTTATTGCGCGTAACACGGCGAAAGAGCGCACTTCCTCAGTGCTGTTTTGAAACGCTAAGGTTACATAGAACGGCATAATGGCTAGTACGTCTAAAATCCCCATTGTGGACTTGACAAAATGCCAAACGACTGGCGCTGAGTAAAGACGAACAGAGTACTCAATTGTAAACCATGCAACGAATATCCCCTCCATAACAAACCAGTAATCGACAATATGCTCTTTGAAAGGCACACGGGTGTAATGACCGCCTATGCTAACGTTCCGGTAAGTTGTCTTCGGTTTGAGCGCGAGCGCTGGAATAGTTTCGATACAGAATACAACAGTTGAAAAAACAATGACGAAAATCGCCCAAAGTGCAAGAATCCGCGCGGTTTTGGAAGACCGCGGATACTCAAACCACAGCCAAAGCTTTCGCTTGTGTGGACTAAGAGGTAAAATTTCTTCCACATCATCCTGCGAGGCTGACAAATCCTCGTAGCTGTCCGAGTAATAACTGCCGGGCAAACCGTAGAACTCAATTTCTTGCATAAATGTTTCTTCACTGACCGTTGGCGGTTTGGCAAGAATACCGCGCGATTGGTAAAAGAATAAAATGGCGTCGAACGATTGCCTGTCTCGAGCGAAAATGTATTCACCTAGTGCAGAGCTGTAGAACTCCATACGTCTAGATGGAGAGCCGAGCAGCGTGTCTGGAAAATTCCCCAAGGTCTCCTCGTATGTTTCAAAGCGCATACCGCTGACATTGATGGTAACTCGTGGGCTATTGTACGCTGATTTGTAAGATGGTACATTAATATAGTTTGCGACTCTCCGCTGTCGGGGAGTTTGGAGCGGGGGGAAGTTTATCGCGGCGTTATAAGCCTTAAGCATTTTACTATCCGATTGACGCTATTATTTATTATCTGCTGAAGAGGATGATTTCTATAGACGCTTGTGTTTTCTTCATTAAATCCTGATGTTATGGCGTTACCGTCTGCCCGCCGAAACAGTGTGAAGACCGCATACCGCGCGTTATAGACCTCTCACTGGGGCCAGACTCATATAATTTGCGCATCACACCGACTTTATAGTTGGATAGAAGTTTCCGGCATTACCTCACGTTGGCTGAAATGAAAAAAAAAGAGAGAGTGCAATAAATCATGGTTGAGTTCTGTTATGAGTTTATTTATACAGAAATTAAACATCATTGAATTGTATTTATCGTAACAAACGCAGCCAAGCAATCAGGGTATCTTAAATTTAGCGTGGGATTAATTTCTTCTTTGGAAAACAAAAGCAGCCTACGTTTTATAGTCGCAATATCAACAAAGTGTGATGGAACAAAAATCAGAGTGATAATAGCTGAAAATACGAAGACAATAACTTGAAATCTAGGACTCGCCACCGGTTTCTAACCATGGTTCTCCTAAGACAGATAAATATTAACGAGACAAATTGTAATGGCAAGCTCGTTCTAAAATGAGGGCAATTTCCTTGCAAACTGGTACCTTTATGTCGTAAACTTGGTATTCCGAAAGTATGATTATTCGTTAAAAGAAAGAAATAAAGAAAAAAATTACCTGACAATTCTGATTGAAAATAGCATGTTTTTTTAATATTCGCATTGTTTCTTAAAAATTCAGATGGCTAAGCCATTTGAAACGCCTACACACTATTTTTCATAATTTTGCAGAGTTAAAATTTAATTCAACCCCGCGTTTTGTGGCAAACATGGCAAATAATGGGATGCAGATTTCAGACATGCTCTTCTCAGCTTATAGAATACGATGAACTCAGAGGCATCCAAAAGGAAATTTCTTAAATACTTCTAGCGTTTTAAAGAAGAAAAGCTCCCCGTCGCTTGTAGATCTTTAGCCATTGAACAGATTAATCCGGGCTCATGGCGATGTTTAATACGGTGCAGCCAAAAAAAGCGTTAGTTTCCAACCACAAATTAAAAACATTTTGACAACAGGTCCCTAAACATTGCGAAAACCGCAGCGCGGTAAACCATAGAAAAATTGTCCGGCTGCGAGACGTTTTAGCCCAGGTTTTAACCAAGGCTCATGAAAATTATTTCGTTTTGAATAAAGGATATTACTCTCTCCTGTACAAATGAGGCTATTTACGCGAATTTGTGAACAGTTTTGACAGATATCGCAATTTAGTGGTGTGATTTCGCTCACTGGTCGATTTTAAGAGGTATCACCTTCAACTTTAATTATAATATAACACTTTTGTTATGTAAACTAAGAGTTCACCATGACAAAGAAAATATGTAATACTGAAAGTTTACGAAACAATATGGCTTAAGAAGAATGAATTACCTTGTAATTTTTATCTCCGAGCCCCAACGTGGCATTTGAAAGATATCATATTGGAGAGCTCATGGGGGATGTACATGGAAACGATATAACATATTTGTTCGTTGCTTTGAAGAAGATAGAATGTTTTTTGTGTCACATTTTCGTTCATTTGGCTTTCGGTATCCAAAAATATGCTTTTCATTAGACGATTTTGAGTAAAGCATTTCAGCCTCTGCCCATTATAGAATGTGTTGTGCTAAAAACTTTGTAAACTAGCCGATGTAGTGTCTGAATTAACAACCATAGGGCTATGGATCGGTTTGTATATTTTTAGGACTGCTTAGGCACAGACTTGAAAAATGGTAAAATTCTGCATTGATCGAAGGAAACATAAAAGGTCAGAAAACATTTGAAACAAACGGGTTAAGAACATGCAATATCAGGAGTTGGAATTTTTAATTTCCCATGTTCGAAGCATTATATACAGTTGAATATAATTACATTCTGAATACAGCGAGGTTTTGGATTACAACTGAAAGCTGAGAGAAGGCGATCGCAATTTCTTAACCCTTCTTATCTTCTGTCTCTTATTCCGGTTTTTTTTTTTTCGGAATTTCCTTCGTAAGATATTGTTCGTTGACTGAAGAATAACAAAATACTCGGAAACAATAGGTAGAATGACAAAACGGTGTTGGAGACAGCGTACCGAAAATTTGCGAAAGACGATAAGGAAAAAGCGAGGAAGAAGTTATGTTTAGGATATTTTTCGCTGGGCTGTATGTGTAAATTTCTTATTTATTTAAGCTGGAAGCACTACCTCGCATTCACTTGTGTTAAAGAGAATACAGACCGATTACAACTATTCCTTTTGAACGAGTTGAAATTCGCAACCTGCCGAGTAACATTACACCACATGCAAATCGGAAAAACTAAAGGAAACTTGCGGTAGTAAGGGGGAAAATTGTGCTGAGAGCACCTACACAAGATAGCGCTGCTTAATCAAGTAAGCCGTAGAAAATTTTGTCGGAACTTTTTTTACTCTTGCGTATATGAATTCGTGTATGATTTACCCCCTACATTAGATGAAGTTTAAGCCTTGAGTTCGTGACTCGTCGAGGCATAATTATCCTAATTCTGCTGTGTTTTGCGGGGACGTTCAAGGACATATTAATCAATAAACTTGCGGCGCTTTTCCGACGCGGGAAATTTGCTGTAGCGTCCACTAGTTGAATATTCTATTCCACAAAAATTGCTATTCACTAAAAGAATACTTTTAAATTTTGAAACACAACATCACCGAAGTATTATCATCACCTTGGATTCTTTGGAGCGCGATAGTCTAGATAAAATTGTCACTAATAGAAAAGACAGACACCTTCAATCGAAAAGATTGTGTGTTTTTCTATTCTACCGAGACGATTGAGCAAGAGACGGAAAAAGGGGAAAAAGTCAACAAATTGAGCGAACTTACCGTAAGACAGCTTAGAAAACATCGCAGGAATTAATGTGTTCGTGGTGCACTGTGACTTGTCCAATCCTTAATCGCACGAGATCGATTCTACCACGTCTGTCATTCACATCCAGTGAACATAAACACCGAGGTAGCCAGCCTTAAGCGCTGTAATTGATACGGTCGATCAAACAATAACATCGATGCAGTGTTTACAAATGTAATTTCGAAAAGAAGCCTAAACGACATTTTCTTAGTGACGTCATAGAAAAGCAGGTGGGCAAGTGAATTAACACTCCGGGAAATAATTTGAAAAGCTCCCATTTCCGATGCTTTAACACTGTTAACTTGGTTTTTGCTTGACTTTTAAGTTTTTCGTTTAACAGAACCATTTGCTCTTTCAAATGCGGCCATTCCGCAGCTCACGTAGAGGGATTATTTGAGAATGACTAATTGCTTACTTTGAGTGGATTTATCATCACCCCGGGGTAAATTTGCCACGAGTTTCAATGCTATCGTACCAAAATAAAAATATTTGTTTTCTTCTTATGGGCTATTACTATATGGGAAAATTTCCCCAAAGCAGTTATATCGATTATCGAAACTATGGATCCAAAGGATTCTCTGCACAAATTGCTCAACCGTCCTTCACGCTATCTCTGAACCATGACAGTTTATTGTTGAGATGTCAAATTGAATTTTCCGTTATCGTTGTCTTTGTAACTAAAAACTAAATGCAAATATGGACAATTAACAACCAAACACTTTAGAAAAAACAATTATGTGAGTACTTTCCTATTAAAATCACTTAAACGAATCCAACAAAATGAAAGGGGCTACGATAGATTCCTTAAGGTGTTGTTTCTGTCTCGTTCTGTTACAAGGATTAAATCACAAAAAGTATTCTTCGAAGTAACAGGATTTTTAACTCCACGAATAAAAAAAAGAATAAAATAAGTATTCGATTGTCACTCATTTTGAATAGATACACAAACAGTGTAAATAGAGGATGCGAAAGGAATATTAATTTGGCGTCGTTTTAACATCTGTTAATGAGAGTGAGGTAAATAGAATTCTCAGATATCATGGTATTGTTTTAAAGCGAGAAAACAAGATATTCGTTGTTAAATGCCGGAAAAGGTAAATTTGGAATGGGACAAAGGTGTTTTTTCAACTATACTTTTTTTTTGTTTTGCATTTTTAATCATACAGTTTTTAGAAGTTTCGTTTTCCTTTTTGTCTTTATTAAAGAAACTTCCATGGACAACACTTTTCTCTTAAATCTGAGCAATTCTAAATGAATAAGTTTAAATTATTATCATTAGTTTCAAAGTTATTATTATTATTATTATTATTATTATCATCATTATTAACATCATAATCATTGATGATATTACTGATATCAATACCATTAATATTGTTATTATAATCATCATTTTTATTTCTGTTATTACTCTTAGAATTATCATCAGTAAAATTGTGAGTCTTACCATTGTTAATATTCCTGCGTATATAATCCTTATTAATATTATTATTGTTTGTACCATTGTGATAATTTAATTATTTTATCGTTGTTATTATACTTCTTATTATCATCATCATAATTTTTATTGTGACGTAACTTAGACTCAATGTACTTTTTGATTGGTCAGAAATCTATTGCGTATTTGCCTGCATACCCATAAAAATTGAAACATTTTCCCGTCCTGTGAAATGGCGCCACACAAGGCGAATTCCCAGAATTTAAATTTTTTAGTGGTCTTTGGTTTTGAGGAAACGAAGAAGACACTTTAAACGCTGAAAATCTTACTTACTGATGAGAACAAAGACCACTTGCAAAGTGAATGTGCACTAAGATTTATGGCAGTCCCGTTTACTGTCCACGATTTCAGCTTACATTTAAAATGATTTGCCAAGTTTAAACGCTTTAAGCCCTTTCTGTAAATTTTAACGAGGACTTCATGAAAGCTTTAATTCAAGCAGAGGCAATAGAGACGAATTTGGTTGAAGGAAAATGGTCGGTACCGCATGTAAACGAGATAGCTGGACGGTGTTTGTATCAATGCACACCGCTCGATGTTGTTGTCTTTCGATTTTGACGTTTTCGTCGTGGCGCCTTCCAATAATGTTATGAA